ATCAATCTTGATTGCATAACAGGTAGTATTATCATAAAATATGTAATCATTATTTGAAAAACATTTCTAGGATTGAAATCAAATAAAATTAGATCTAATATTATGAGGAAAAATTTTTAGGATTAAAATCAAATAAAATTAGATCTAACAATATTAGATGAGTATCTTTCTTATCATATCAACAAGTGTCCCATCGTCCGAATCCTTATCCTCTTTTCCTATACTCACAGAACCAATTGAAGGAGAGAAGTCAAATTCTGCACTCATAAATCTATTTATTTTAATAAAAATAAATTTATATTAACAATTAGTAAAACTGTTATTTAAAAATCACTCATAAATAATTTAGGGATTTACTTTACCAATAACTAAAATATTATTTAAAAATCAATCGTAAACAATCACGCCTGGTGGGACTCGAACCCACAATCGTTTGATTAGAAGTCAAACGCCTTATCCATTAGGCCACAGGCGCCTCTTGTTTCGTTGTCGTGCATAAATCTATATATTATATTATAGAGAATACGTGACATGACTTTTAAGTTCAAAGACTCGTACCGTGCAACAACAACAACTGATCCAAACATCATATGGTGTCACAGATGCAGAGGATTGAACTCTCATGTTCCTTTGAGAACTTTGTTTGCATGCTGAATACCTCAGTGATGCTTATCGTTTGTTGCGGTGGAAGCTTCCATCTTACTTCCAAAATGGATTCATTGAATGACTTGACATGCAAATTGTTGTTGCCATCCTTCTTGCACTCCTTAATGATATGAAGACACCTCGTAGTTACCACCAACCACAATCATGGCGGCCAAGAAGACGACTCCACTTCTGAGCCGCCTCAGAGGGGCGATTCACAAGGTACGCTTCCTGCTCTCCTTCGACGCCTCCAAATGGATCGCTATCTCCTCCTTCAAGAGATCGTCGCCGGTGCCTCCTCGCCCGCTGACCTTCACCGCCCGGCCCAGCTTGCTCGACTGCACCGACGACTACTACGACGCCCGCTCCTCGTTCGCGCTCTCGAGGACGATGAGCCCGTGCTCTCCTGCGTTGACGACGCCTAGCCCTGGCCCGGAGATCTCGAGATCGACCAGTGATGCGTCTTCCGGGGATGACATCGACCAGAGGGCGGAGCGGTTCATAGAGAACTTCTACCGCCAGCTGCGCATGGAGCGGCAGGTCTCTCTTGAGCTGAGCTACCGCAGAGAGAAGAGCTTGGATAGGTCGCCTGGAACAGTACAGTAATCTGTGCTTGATTGATTACAGGTTCTTTCATCCTTTCGATTTGTTCTACATAATTCTCCCATGAAACTTTTGATGCATTACATCACAATTCAGACACAAAGAATTCACAACAATCTTAGTTTTCTGGTTTTAATTCCAGATGAGATTTTGTGGTTCTTATGGTGTTTGATGAGACTTTGAAGAATATTGGTGCATAATTACCAAACTCTTCTTGTTCTTCTGCATGAAACAAACTACAATTATCCATGAAAGCCACTCATCAATAAGATTTGGTGGTTGTCCAGTGGTTTTCAGCTGACCTTATGGGCCAAATTGTTTCCTCCCATAGTACCTACTGGCACCATGAAGAAGACTTCCCTTGTTTTTTTCTTCTCAGTTGATTATTCTTGCTTTTGACACAGCAATAATGAACATTTCCATGAAAAGGACTTCCCTTTTTGTTGTCTTCTCAGTTGATAATCCTTGTTTTTGACACACCAATGCATGATTTATCATCTGCTGAAAAAAGTCTAGCAATATTACTAGTTCTTTCCATGAGATGAACTTTGGTTGTCTTTTATGAGGCTCATTTCTTTTACCTGTTTCAAATGGTTTGTCTGAAGACTAATCCACAGAATCAATGAACAGAGAGAGAGAGACAGAGAGGTTTGGTTGCCACCATATATAAAAAGTTGATCTTTCTTTTCTGATGGATAGCTGTAGATAGATACTAAGGTAGCTTTAGATAGTGAAGGCATTAAAGTCTTGAGTTGAAAGTGCACATATCATGTCAACTATGATTGATGTTAATACTTAAAAGAGAATCCAACTTGGGTAATTTATAAAAAACAAATTAATAATAGATTTTTATCAGATGACCCTTTCAGTTTTTACTGGTGGATTTTTTTAATGTTTTAATTATATTATCTTTAATAAATTTATAAAAAGATGATTATTATCCTTTCACTTGATTTTTTAGAATTGAACATTTTTAACGAACCAGATTATAAAAACATTTTTTAATGAACTTGATTATAAAACGTTTTAATAAATTCTAAACATTTTTTTAGAATTGAACATTTTTTAATGAACATTTTTTTAATGTTTTAATGAACATTATAAAAAGATGATTATTATCCTTTCACTTGTTTTAATGAACATTATTTTTAATTGAACATTTTTTTAACTTGATTTTTTAATTGAACATTTCACTTGATCGATTCAACTAAATCTTAATTATTCATTTTTATTTAATTGGCTCATAAATTATTCTTGATTTTCTTAAATTACTTTTTATTTTCTTCATCTCTATTCCGTCTCCTCCTCCTCTTTCTATTTTATCTTTGTCGCCTCCTCCCTCTCTCTCTTTCTGTCTTCTCATGTTTGACTCAACTTGTGAAAGAGAATATTCATAGCTAAAGCATAAGCTTTAGATTGATGAAAAAAATTCGATTTTGATTTTTTAAGGAGAAAAAACCTATTACCTCTTTTTCTATTCTTTTATGTTCTTTGTATTTTAGCAGCCAACACTATTTGTAAGGACATGTTGTAGCTTACCTATTCTATGAGCCCAATCTCACTCAGTTCACATCTGGGTTGAGTTTAACTATATCTGGATTTGGTTCGGCACTCGGCCCATGAGTCTTCAACCCATCGATATTTTCGTCGTCCAATGAAATGTAAGATTTTCTAATCAGACGATCGAAGATCAAAATAGTCTCCTCTCCCGGATCAACACCCCATCCGACGATTACATACTGCTATTACTCTTCTATAAATATAGTCTAAAGGCCTCCAATTCTCCCTTGGTTCGCTTGAGAGGTAGAGGGCGACAACGTGAAGCACATCTCGGGGTTGATCTACGAGGAGACTCGTGGCATGCTAAAGATCTTCCTCGAGAACGTTATCTGGGATGCCTTCACCTACGCTGAACATGCCAACCGTAAGACCATCATCGCTATGGACGTCGTCTGTGCCCTCTAGAATCAGAGTCGCACCCTCTATAGCTTTAGCGGTTAATCCTAATCTTTTCACCCAATTGTCATAGACTTAGTTAGAATTGCCTAAGCTGTGAGGCATCCTTATGGTAAGGACACGAACTTAGCTTGAGTTGCTTAAGTCGCAAAGCGCTTTTGTGCCAACTTCTTGGACTTAACTGGGATTGCTTAAGTCATGATGTGCCCTTGCGATATGCATCCACAAAGAGTCAACCAATTTGCAACCTCACTCAAGTCCCGAAGGATCTATAAAAGATAAAGTTGATTAGTTCAAAAACGAGCGGTAGACAACTCCCGACGTCTCGCGGAAAGGAAAGTTTTACAAGCAATTCAGCAAGCACCTTGTGTGCATAAGAGAAAAGAGGGGAAGAAGGAAAACAAGGATTTTAGAATGTAGAACAAATAGTTGCAAGTCCACAAACAATTGCTCACCGGGTGCTAGGCGCGAAGGCAAGTTTCCGTCAAGTTAACGTGCGAACCTGTGAAGATTGTTCAATGCCCGACAATATACCGAAGCCCCATTCAACCTTGTGCTACCCATGGGGTTCCAGGGTATTGAGATAGCTGACATTTTGTGTGTAGTTGTGGCTTGTAGAAAACAAGTCGTAGCACCTAAAAATGGAGCCATTTTAGGGCAATTTGACCCGGCGCGGCGAGCGGTCACACTGTAGCGCTGCAACCTATTCGAACATATATTTTTACGAGCAAAAACACATAAAACCAAGGGAAAACAGATAGTCATATCCTTGTACAAGCATGCAAAAGTGATGAACAGTTGGTTGAACGAAATTGTCGTGGGTACACGATGACCGTTCGTGACACTATGATGACTCGTCGGTGATGTTAATTGCTCATCTTCTTGTTCTTTGTAAATAGAGTTTATGGTTTAGGGTTATTCCAAATTGCTACTTCTTACCTCTTGATCATACCTATAATCGGCTAAATTCTCATTAGGGCTTTCGATTTGAAATTGCTCTGCATCTTCATCTTGATATAGTCGGCGCGCTTCTCCATCTAATGGTTGCAAAGATCTTTTCTTCCATTTAATATATTTGTGTGGAGTGCACAAGAACATTTAATTTTCAGGCAATGCATTTTATTGATAGCCGAACCCAATTTGGAGAGATTTCAAGCCCACGTTACATTTACGAGGACATCTCCTGTAATGCATTCAAAGAGTAGCCCAGGCAACAGCGCCCATTGCAATCCCAATGGTCGCGCTCACAACTGCTCTAGCAGAGTCGGAGCCCACCGGTGCATCCGCGGATTCCGCAGGCGACTCTGCGTCTGCGTTCTTGCTGTGTGCCGCCGGCGCCGCTGCGCTTCCCGCCGGAGCCTCGATGGGAGACGCAGGGCTGGACTCTGGAGCCGCAGGGCTCGACTTTGGAGCTGCTGCTGGAGCCGAAGGACTTGTCTTCTTCCCTGGTGCCGTTGCCGGCGCCTGAGCGGGCGCGCTCGCGATGCCGGGTGGCATGATGGCGGTGCTGACTTGGAGCACCGAGACGTTGTATGGCCGCGCCGCGACCACCTTCTGGAGGTTGGAGTTGAGCGGGGCGCCGGGGGCGGCCGAGCCGAACATCATCTGCTCGCCAGGCAGCTCGGTGTAGTTCAAGAACCCCATGTTGTTGGCTGCGAGGCCGGAGGCCTGGAAGAGGGTGGTGAGGAGGGCGGTCTTCTTGGGGACCTTGTCGAGCTTGTAGGGGTCGTAGTAGTCGAGGATGACATGGACGGAGATGACGTTCTTGAGGGTGTCGGCGGAGAGAGATGAGAGGGCGGAGATGGCTGAGTTGTCGACGGCGAGGACGGTGATGGTCTGGCGGCGGTTGATCTCGTCGGCCACCTTCGTCTGGGTTAGGTACTTGGTGAAGGTGGAGAACTCGTCGAAGGGTTGGAGGATCCCGACGATGTCGAGGGCGGCAACGGCCGAGGAGGAGATCAAGAGAAGGTAGGGGAGGAAGACAAGGAAGCCATGGGCTTTAGGGGCCATTGTGCCTAGGGTTTGGTTTTGCCCGAATCCCCACTCAAGGAGGTGAGGAAGAGGGTGATGTGAATGCACGAAGATGGGGGTGGCGGGACGAAGGATATATAGGAGTAGGAACGTTTGTCTCCCGCCAAATTTAGAGGTGAACAGTTATGCATGGCTTTGAGCCGTTCATTCATATGCGGAGTGGCGCTGAGTTGGAGGCTTGTTTGACTTGGTCTTTTCTTGAGTTTGAAATTGTCATGGGTTATTTTCTATTTTCTTAACATATATATATATATATATATATATATATATATATAATGCTAACAAAAACATATGATTTGGTATTGATGCACATTTTTTAATAAATATAGTAGAATAATAAAAATAAGGAAAATATGAAATTTAGAATATCAATTTAATTATATAATTCATCATATGGGTTCAGTAATTATTTTTATGTGAAGATGTTGATTAGTTTAATTAATTTTGTTTTCATTTTTGAAGTTAAAAAATATTATTTTTTTTTTCAATTTTAATGTGATATGTATACATAGTTTTATTTTTAATACATGCAATAATTGATTTGATGGTGTGGAGTTAATACATACTCAATTTGTTGGGATGTTTTACTATCCTAATCATGATGAGACGACTTCCCTCCATGTTTTCTCACGTGCATGACACGTGATTGACTCGGGGTCAGCCGTCGCTTTTGTTTCTGGTAAAAGTCAACTCTAATTTGCGTTTTATATACAGAGAATAAAGATACGAATTCTGGTTTTTCTTATCTCCATCAACGCCAGTGTGGGCGGCACTTCTTCCGTAGTCGATTTAATCCGGAATACAAGGATAAAAATCGGAGCTTTTTGATCCTTTGTGCGACTCAGTCTCTTGCCTTCTCTCTCTCTCTCTCTCGCTGATGTCTCCCCACGTCATATAGAGATCCGGGGTTAGGGTTTTTCACTTCTCTATTGCTTCTTCGAGCGATCTTTAACAAGGTTGGTCGACGCCTCCTTCCATCGTTGTCGCTCTATCGGCTTTTCCATTATTGTATTGAATATTCTCTGAGTTTAATGGTAATCTTTGTTTTTCTTGATTCGATGGAGTGCGCCATTTTCGATTTGGAAGCAACGTTTTGGTCTTGAGACGGGCCAATTAGTGAGTTGTTTATGTTGTTTCTCCGTGATTTAGCAGTAAAAATTTGATCTTCAACTGATCCGATGATTTGACAAATCGACTCTTTGCTTTCCATGTGCCCAGAATACCTCTCTGTATTGCGTACAGTCTGCGTGGTGGTATATGTAGACTTGTCGGATTGTTCACCTAAATTATTGCGATTTTTTTCGTAATTCGACATGAACATGTCTTTTCGCTGAATTGGCTTGTTGGTGCAACTTCCTTTTGTTGCCATTTCCATGGTTGGATGACAGCCAGTGCTTGGTGAGTAATCGGGTAATCCAAATCTGTGGCGGTGGTGAGCAATGTTGAACTGATACCTCACAAGCACAAGCTTAAATGTGTTTGTATTGCAATAATGCAAGCGATATGTACTTTTATAACGAAGAGAATTATGACAAAGCAGTGGACTGATAGTAAAGTGGATGAAATATAGGAGAAAATTAATTTGACCATATTGGACATTCTTTTTATGAACATGATAGATCTAAGCACCAAACTTTGAGTAATACTCGAAATCCTCTGTTTAGTCTAGATTACAGATCCTGTTGTTTGTGACGTAAACTCCATATATAGGGATGTATGCAATTGTGCATCGGAGCACCACCATGAGCATCCATTAGTATTCGATGTTCTTGATACTATGTTAGTTTGGCATTATATTCCTTGGTTTTTCTAGATAATTATGGATTGGTTGCTCCATCATTCAGTCATCTACTTGTCGGTGCACTCCACCGGAGTAGTGCAAGATTTTTATTCTTACTTTTACAGTAGACAAGTTGGTTTGGTAATCACTCATAAACAACAAGAAAGATAACTGCTATTTGCAATTCAGTCACAAATAAGCAAGAAAGTCACAACTACTAACTATAATCGAGAAAAACAAAGTTACGTATTTAGATGTTCTTGAGTTCTACAATCTTGTTGTATTTATATGGCACAAAGATATACCAGATTTTGAAAAAATACAATAGTATCATCATCAGATACCCTTTTGCATGGCAACTTACCCAACTAAAGTATTTTTGGAAGTTTGACCAGATCTGTTTGAAATCGTTTTAGGTGTTAGAGGAAATCACACGGGTCGAATTATCAAGACTGAATGTATGAGGAGTGCAAAACAAGGAGAAAATTACCTTCACTTCTATGAGAAATAGCTTGATGATAGCTAATGATGATGCTCTTGAGGTGTCTTATAATTGTCGATGAAGTATGTTAATATATGGTTCTATTTTTATCATTCTGTTGCATTGCCATCCTTATCATGTCATAGATTCTTGTACTGTTCACCTTTGCAACAATTATATTGTTATTTTTTCCTTGTTCCTCTTTCAACAAAGGTTCTACAGGTGCCAACTTCTTAAAGAAGCTAATTTCTTGGGATTTTCTAATTTGTGCTGTTTGATGATTAGCAAATCTTTTAAGTGAATTTTGATCCAATTTAATAAATAGTGATGATGTTTACGTAGCACAGATCTGAGATGGCCTTATGTACATCTGACAAAAAAGCATTGAAGCGGAGCACCTGTGGACTGGACTTGGTGAACATTAAACTGGATTTTGATTGGGAAGATGTTAAATGCTCGATCTGTTTGGAATTTCCTCACAATGGGGTACTACTTTGGTGCTCTTCACATGACAAGGGATGTCGGCCTTTCATGTGTGATACTGGTCAAAACCACTCAAATTGTTTGGAGCGGTTCAAAAGTGCATATGGAGTGCCTGCTGTTTTAGAAGTCCCATCTGGTCCAAATGGTGTATCTGTGACGTTCATTCAAGGCACCCCTTCAAGCTCCGGCGGCCTTCCAACCTGTCCACTGTGCAGGGGAGATGTAACTGGTTGGCTTATTATTGATGATGCCCGTTTTTACTTGAACATGAAGAAACGATGTTGTGAAGAGAAACATTGTACATATGTTGGCAACTTTTATAAGCTCCAGAAACATGCTCAACGGAAACACCCCCATTCACGTCCTTCTGAAATTGATCCTGCACAAAAACTAAAGTGGGAAAAGTTCCAGCAGTCATCAGAGATGATAGATGTCTTGAGCATCATAAATTCAGAAGTACCCCATGCCGTGGTATTGGGGGACTATGTCATTGAGTATGAGGACTCAGAAATTGGTGATGAGTATGAAGATTTTCGTAGGAGGAGGGGCAAATGGTGGACCTCTCTTTTATGTTGTAAACTGTTTCTGAGCTTTAGGGGTTTGAGGAATCGGCGGAGATCCAGAAGACGTGTACGAAGCAATCATTGGTCAAACTATGATGGTTTCTATGTAGGTGAAGATTCTTCAAGGTCTGTAGATATAAGAGGTTACAGATTTCCTGCAACTGATGTTCAATTTGAAAGAACCGCTGTTGGTGGTGCCACAAGATCTGTAGACACAAGAGATTACAGATTTGCTGAAACCAATGATGAACTTGCAAGAACTGCCATTGGTGCTGCCACAGGGTCTGTAGATACAAGAGATTACAGATTTACTGAAACCAATGATGAACTTGCAAGAGCTGCTGCCATAAGACCTGTAGAGTTAAGAGATTACAGATTCGCTGAAACCAACGATGAACTCGTAAGAACTGCTGTTGGTGCTGCCACATCACTGGCGATTCCCAATCAATACAGGTGGGTTTAAGTTGTTTCTTGTTTCTTATAACATACTGGCCCTTGGATTATGTTTACACCATGGTGTCATTTGGTTGGAGAACAAGTGAGGGAAGGAACAATCCATGACATCCTGCCAAACAATCATAATTGATAGGATGTGAAGGGGTTATATTTATCTGATCAAATAATGAATCCATTAGATTAGTTAATCCTAACAATATGATAGAATTAGATATTTACTTGAAGGGGGAAATTTTGACCATTATTCTTTATTTCTTATTCTTAAGCCAAACAAGAATGACATAGTGATTACTCCACTCATGGAGTGAGTTCATTTATTATCTTGGTATCTGTTCTTAAAGTAAAATACCCCTCTGTATGAACAAGACTTGGAAATCTATTTGACACATCCTTATGAGAAGGTAGTTAAGGGAATATATAAACAATAACACTTTTTTTTTTACCTTTCTATCATAAGACCATGTACTTTGAATTATGAGATATCATAGTCAAACTGTGTACTTTGAATTATAAACAATAACACTTTTTTTTTACCTTTCTATCATAAGACCATGTACTTTGAATTATGAGATATCGTAGTCAGACTGCTCGCCATAAGATTGGTAAGACGATATCTTAGATAGCTGGTATTTGACTTGTCTGATTCATCTTCCCCTTGGTTGCTTCTGATATGCTATCCTTTTTCATGTGGACAGGTATGGAATGTACGATTACCATTTCTATTATTGATGGCCACACGAATGTGCAGCAGTCGGTTGGTCCTCTTGAGACATGCTTTTCATTTTGTTAGGTTTGAATTCTTTCTGGTTGTTATAGGTTTTCCTGTTGACAGTACTCTGTGAATATATAATCATCAACCAAATCTTCAGGAAACATCAATGTGGGCTTTTCTTGTTTCTATAGCTTATCTTATGAGTTGTTCGCTACTACAGGTTTTCTTGTTATAATGCATGATGAGCAGATTTAAATTAGTCAACCCCAAGTGGATCCTTACTGTGCTTCACAAAGTACACATTGGTGGTATTACAGCTTTCACTTTTCTTTTATGATGCAAGACTATAATTGAACTTTCTAGAGATATTTTGTGATCTTCTGATCTAAAAGGAGATGAGATCTTCTGATCTCAGCCTTCCATTGGTAGTAAAACTTTGTAGAACTCATCTTAGTGATGATATAGGGATTGCAATTTAAAGCTTCTTTTATGTTCTTAGTCCCACCAATCATTGAGTTTCCAGTTTGGCCACCATGAGAGTTATTATCTTGCAACTTTGACTGAGATCAAGTAGTAGGCACAGATTGGTATGACACTGGAACATAGTTTCTCTTTTGAACAAAGCTGGCCATCAGCATCCTTCTTCATAAAATAGACAACTTCTAAATATTCATTACAAAGTTTTATCTGATCAGTTGCATTGCAAAAGAGAGGAGTACATGAAATATTTCCAAAAACTTGCAAGCCTGTGACCAATCTGATTAGACTCCTGTAGATAAATAACAAAACTATACAACAGATAATCCATCTTCTGCTTCTCTAACTTGCTGAGTTTTCTTGAGGAGTTTGGAGAGCAGTGTTGTGCACAGGATAGTCCAAAAAGGAGATGAATCCAAAAGCCTTTGAGCTGTCTTGAATGTGGTGTTTCTTGTTACTGTGCAATTTGGTAGAATATTCATGGCCTCTTTCTATCAACTTTCAACCACCATTCCTCTGCAACCCAACATGATTTCTAATCTTACCTCAACTAATCATTTAGGTTTCTACCTTGTCTGTGTTGAAGCTGGACAAAGAACCAGAACTGCTGCACTTGCCTTTCCATAGTAGTGATGGTAGAAGACTGTCAGGTGATGCCATTCTGTTCATGTGCTTGCTTCCCAAATATGTAGTTTGGTTTGGAAGGCCTTTACCTACTAGATTAAGTACATAAACATCACACTATCTAAATGCTACTGTGTCGTCATGGTTAAGAACTGCCTGTTGAAGGTGTTGAGGGAGTATCACAGTCGTCATCGTCGTCGTCGTCAAGATCATCAAAGCCCCAAAACTCTTCTTCCACCTCTTCCTCCTCAAGCATCTTCCATCGATCTTGTGAAATCTCACCACCCTCCAATAGCTCCAGTATCTACATTTAGAACAAAACCATGCTATCAGATGTGTTGCTTGTCATATACACTCAAAACAAATATTTCTAACAGCAATCAGTAACCTCAGTCATGGAAGGCCGCAATGCTGCTGTTACTCTGATGCAGAGAGAGGCTGCAAAGCTGAGCCTTTTCAGCTGCTCCATGTCATAATCATCACCTAATCTTGGATCAACCAGCATCTGTAAGCTGCCATCATCTAGAAAAGGTCTAGCCTGCAGTGACACAAGTCAGGCAAAAGATCGAACACCTGATATGATCCATAAGAACATTGGCTGACATTTACCCAGCTGAGCAAGCTCCTGTGAGATCCATCCACCGGTTTCCGACCTGAAATGATCTCTAACAGGAAGACACCAAACGCAAACACATCGGTCTTCTCGTCCACGATGCCGTGCATGAAATATTCCGGCGCCAGGCATCTGTGGATATCATGAGCTCCTCCATTACGTGCATCGGAGTGAGTAGCTTGAATCCAAGAGTTGAGAAGTATGTACCCAAATGTGCCTTCGATCGGCGAGATGGCGCGGTGAGTCCACTCTGACGGAAGCCATTTCGCAAGGCCGAAGTCTGAGATCTGAGACGTGAAGATGTTGGCTTGGCATCAGATGTGCTCTTAGAAGCAGCAGGCGGCGGCGGGCCGTACCTGAGGTTGGAAATTTGCAGTAAGGAGGACGTTGGAGGCCTTGATGTCTCTGTGGATGATCCTTCGCGGGCACTCCTTGTGCAGGTAATGAAGCCCATGGGCGGTGCCCACCGCGATGCCGTGCCGCAGCTTCCAAGCCATTGATGGTGAACTCGCATCTGCAAGCAACACAGGCAAAGGCCGCAGCTGAATCCACCTTCCTCATACCTTGGCAGAGTTCTCGTTGGCTTTACCGTGGAGATTGGAGGAGACGGAGCCGCGCGAAGAGAACTCGAAGACCAAATGGAGGCCGCGGTCGATGCAGCAACCCAGGAGAGCGGAGACGTTGGGATGCCGCACATGGCCGACGGTACCGAGCTCCGTCAAGAAGTCCTTCTCCCTCTGCTCGTCCGTGGAGGCTCCCACCATCGTCTTCACGGCTATCGCCTGCCCGTCTGCCATCACTCCCCTGTACACCACCGCGTACCCTCCCCTGCCCACCAAGTTATCTACCCAACCCAGGATCGACCACAACGAGCAAAAGATGAGATTTTGACGAGCAAATCTCGTTGCAGCGCGGCTTAAATACTAAAGAATCGACAGACCTTTGCGGAAACCGTCGGTCGCTGCGTGGATTTCTTCATAGGAGAAGCATCTCCAGGTTGATTTCACAGGGGCGGCAATCTCTTCTGTGCTCTCTTCTTCTCTGCTCCTCCTTCCAATGGCGACAGACATCAGGCGCTTGAGGCTTCTGCTCTTGCTGTACAACTGCCTCATTCTTCTGCTCTGCAATCCAGCAAGCCAAAGAAGAGAAGCCTCAAAGCAAAGGGGAAGTGGAGGAAGATGCAGAAGCATTAATTGGAGGAGTAAACCAAGAAAAGCTGTGTGCAAAGCAGAGGAGATGATGCTTTGCATTCCAAGGGATACAAGGAAGCATTTTTTTTTGGGTATGATGGTTAGATACAACAAGCAAGAGAAGAAGGGGAATTTTGTAGATGGAAGTAGGTCACTTTCTCTGCCACTGTCTTCCCTGTGACATATGTGCTTTGGTTGTGTGGAAGGTGGTCCTTGGAACTCAAATGCTTGTTGTTACTTGGTGCTGATAGTTCTTTCTGCATTTGAGCTTTAGATGGCACTCAAAATGGAAGAACAATTGAGCAATAGGTGGAACAATCAGCAGCAGTAGGTCACTGTCTCTGCCATTTGTCTTCCTTGTAGCATATATGGGCTTTGGTTCTCACATAGATAATAGCTCTTGAGCAGTTGAGCCATGGCTGGAATCTCAAGTAAGAATAATTGAGATATAGATAGAACAAAGCAGCAACAGCAACTGAGACTGGACTTTTTATCTTCCCCAAAAAAAAGAGCAATCATCAATGGGGATTAGGTCAATTCCTTTGCCACTGTCTTGTGACATGTGTTTTAGTTGTGCAGAAGGTGGTCTTTGGAACTCAAGAATTTGGTGTTACTTGTTGTCCTTTTGGAATTTAGATCTATAATATATATATAAGGGTGTATATATGTATATATATATGTATACACATATATATAAATGTATATATATATATATGTATATATATATATATGTATATATGTATATATATATATATATATGTAAAACTGTACTTACTCTTTCTCCGTCGCAATGGCGGCGTCAACCGCCGAAGGGCCCGAGTGTTACTCTTTCTCCCGCTGCCTTCTTCTCCGGTATCGCTCTCTCTTCCCCTCCTTTCTCTCCGCTCACCTTCTCTTCTTATTCTCTCTCACTGCATCGCTCCAATTGAGCAGGTTATCCGAGTCGATTCGAGAAACCCTATCGCGAACCCCATATGCCCCTCCGGAAGGTGCCTCCGTCTCCATCAAATCCCTCGTCGAATCCCTTCTCCCGAGCGGAGACCGGGAAGCACAGGAGGGGTTCCGGAAGGAGGTTAGAGATTTCTTCCTCGGCTGCGCAGCCCTGGCCGCGGCTGAGGGGGACGAATCCCCCACTCTCTTCTGGGTCACGAAAGATCTCATCTTTGTGTCGAAATCGGCTTTACGAGAGCTATCTAGAGCTGCTTCCTTCGAGTCGGAGCAGCAGATGGTCATTGGGCTGTTGCCAGACGTGTTGCCGGCTGTGAAAGGGGTGATAAAGGAGAGCTGTGTGGATGCAGAGGAGGAGGAGGTCATCGCGGCCTCGGCGAAGGCGCCGGTGGCGTATGCTATCGTGGCGGCTCATCAGTTTAGGTGGCTAGTTTCCCAGGTTTGTCTCCTCGTAGTAGGTTTTCTCTACCTCGTTGTTGCATTGAAGAATGGGGTGCCATTTGTCATGATGAGTAGTTTGATGGTTGTCTAGGTTGCTTATCCTGATTTGGGTAAGTTGTTATGGTTGGTCATCCCGTGCGCTCTAACGTCTTTGGATCACTGGTCAGCGGAAGTGAAGGTGCGATATCTTCTTCTTCCCATCCTTTAGCTACTTTTACAAACCTTTTTCCTGCATAACTTAAATTTGAGAAGCGTCATAGTTTATGCCCTTCTTCATTTTCTGTTATTGATGTTCTACTTAAAATCAGGAGTTTCCTGGTGTTGTTTCTCATGGTTTTGTGTCACATGATGGGGACTAATGTTCTGTACTATAAATTTGTTTTGGTTACTCTAAAGCATCTCCCCGATACAAAACATCCTTCATCCATTTTAGCCTTACGGCTGTAGGTTTATCGTCATCACTCGTGTTGTCTAATTAATTTTTCAGCACATCATATCCATCTCACTACCACCTGTAATGTATTATTGACAGTTGATGGCTCAGTTTGGCTTTTTTTTCTCTCTTTTTATTTTTTTGAAACATGATCCTGTTTTATTTTTTGAAACATGATCACTGGAAAGGAATGTGACAAAGTTAGTTGTGCTTGCTTGAACCTCTCAAATTGTAGTTGACTTGAAAATCTGTTCATAAAGACCCTATGTTATTTGCGTGCTGTTACAAGTACTCTAGTTATGTTATTATGTATTTATAGATACCATCCATTGTTTTTCTAGGATTGTAAACCTACTTTAGAAACTCTATATGATTGTAATGTTTTTTATTGAGAGATTATTCCTTGGCTTTAAAAGGAAGGGAATAACAATCTTTTTATTTAATTCCAGGAGCAGGGTATTGTTAGCTTTATACACATAGTGAAAAATGTGAATTCAACTGAGTTAGGTTGGTACGAGGAGGCAGTCCTTGATGTATGCTGCCAAAACATTCTTGCAGCAGATGAGCTGTGGGATCGTATTGTTGAGGTGTCTGTGCTTTTATTGACCTCTACGCAGCAAACAAATCCTCGTAGCCCTTGGTATGTATTCTTATTATACTTATGCTTACTTTTTGTTACCTATCAATGTGGAATAAAACTTGTAGCACAATTATAGCTTTCACGAAATTACTTCTATATTTCAGACTTAGCAAATTTTATTAACAATATATGTGAATAGGAAATATTAGAGGGCCCAAAAAGGCACAATATGTCAATGTATGTGTCTATATTGCATGTCTTTGAATTCAAAGAAGAAATTAATTGTAATAATTACATTCTGTTCATCATCTTCTGCGTACATGATGCTAGAAATGAGGATTTATGATGTCAAATTTGCTATTTCAAGTCATGTTTCCCAGTCGTTGGACTTATAGATTATTTAGTTGCATCTGTATAACCTTTTTATGGTCAATCTTGACGGTCACGTCCTACTCTATCCTCTTACTAATCTGGATATGCATATGGTAGAGTAATCCCCTCAGGTAAACTGTATGAACTTTGTTTTCTGTTTGCTTATTTGTTCCCTGCAACAGCAGATTGAGTGAGTGTGTGGGAAATTGGTCATTCTTATAAAATGCTCCAAAAGTTAGAAAACTTGACTCAATGACTCTTCACTTGAGGCAGAATCTGCTATGTGTCTGGCTCTTGGTATGTCTGGTGTAAAGGGAAGCAATCCAAACATGATACGCAACTTTGTTCTTTAAGGAGGCAGATTATAAGGTCTAGGTTTATGAGTTTTGGAAGTTCTGGAGAATGTTGATTCTGCCATCTAGCTTTAGTGCCCAAAACCTTCTTAATTCTTGAGATTTGGCAGTAATTCTGTTGAAGGTTGGTAGCAAGAGTTACAACCATACTTTATTCATGAACACATGATATGAGAAGTTTCATGACCCATCATCTCAGCTCGAAAAGTTTAATGTCTAAGCCACTTTGTATTTTTATGTTGATTGCTAGAAGCAAACTTCCACACAAAGCTGTACATACCAAAATCAAATTTTGCTTAGCAAATTTGTAATTTACGATAAAGGTTTTTTATATTGATTATTGAAATGACAAGTTGAATTTTTGCTAATGCACTTATCAGTTTGAACTTCCATATGTTCTGGTAACGAACAAGGTTTATGTCTTTACTTTTTCCAAGTCGACAAGATTTTATTGCATGATTATATTCTGCATTATCTTATATATTTGTTTGTAGATACCTAAGCTAAACCGAATATGCATATTTTTTTTGACATTAGTATGTGCCTTCTCAATCTATCTTCATAAATGAGAAGATGCTCAAAGCTTTACATTGCCAAAAATAAACTCTCGAGGCTATGAATAGTATAGGAACAATTTCTTCATGCATCTTAAAATCATTGCTACATAGAACACCATCTTATGATGTTGTAAGTCAAGATATTTTGATATTTCAACACTGGATCTGGAAAATTGTAACCTGAAAATAGCAAAGATTTCATATTTTTTTAATATTCATAGCTGATAATGAAGTTTAATGTAACTGTGATTTTGGCCTTTTTATCTGGATGAAGAACATTTATTGTGAAATAAAAAGCAAACAGAGGGCAACATCTTTGTAAAAAAAAAGTGCATTTCAGTACTACTGGTATCTAGTCTTTAACTTTCACAAATATTGACTATTACATTTCGTGTGAATATCAAGTGTTTTTCCTAGCCATTCTAGTGAGCAAACACCTATGATATGCCAACTATTTTTTGTTAGGTTTGAAAGAATGCTAAATGAGATGCTAGGCCACTTGGAACGCCAGCCTTTCAAAAAGGAGCGTCGTATTGCATGGCTTGCTCAAATTGAGCCAGTTTTTGATGTTATGGGTCTGTTTATATTGGCACACTTCCGTCGCATTTTTAATCTTTTCTTCCAGTGGATGCATGCTGATGATGAAGAGACCATTCTCCTGGTAAGGAGTAAAGGCAACGCTGTCATTGTTTTTATTACAATTCTGGAACTGTTGTGACAGTTACGTAGCTTCCCCCCCCCCCCCCCCCAATGTATTGTCATGGAATTTTCAAGTTGATCTATTTTCTGCACATTAACTACCTTTTGATCCTTTGACTAATAAAATCTAGAAAAAAATTAACTATCAAGAAGGATTTGACATAATTCTTATTGTGCCGCTTACGGTTCTATTTACTTTACATTTGCATTTCAACCAGGCTAGTATGTAATACTAGGATGATTGGATGGTTTGAAGTGAAAATATTGTCCAGATTTCACCTCAAATATCTCTTCAGTAAATTTGCTAGCAATGTAATAATCAAAATAATTTGATGGTGTGCAACTCATATACGATCCTGAAGTGACATTTGGAGGATCAACATGCACATTCTGGTTTTTACTGATCTCAATCTTCATAATCCAGCCACTTTTACTTAGGAAACTAAATCTCAACAGCTTGCAGATCTGGATTGGATTATGCTTCTTGACATTTCTTTGAACATAATATATGAATCTACCATTGGGATAATCATGGAAGATTAATCCATTTGAGTACAAATACTTCTTCAGTTTGAACTATGTCCATATCTTAACAGGTTCTAGAGCGGCTGAAGACTATCATAAAGCTAACATGGATACGGAAGTCACCCTACTTCGAAAGGTAAAAGTGACTGCTCATGTCACTCACTCCTATTTTATTCTTGTATCTGCTTGAACCCTCATATTTGCTGTTAATCATCAATGTATGTTCAGTTTTATCTTGAGCATTGATGAATTTTCCTTTTTCTTATATGTCCACTTCTAGGAGTAAAATCTTCAAATTTAATGTCAATTTTCATTTTACTGAATTTCCTGAATGTTTTTAGGTAACATAGTTTGTTGTTTAAAGTCATGATAATTCAAGTTTCGTTTTCGTACAAAAAAACATGATCCCTTCTCAAACCCTGTTTCTAGTGTTGGTAGATTTTGCAGATTAAATTACTTGACTTATTCCTCTTTTTTCTCATAGAATCATTCAAATTAAGTGCTGACTCCTATTATATTCTGTCCTTAGGTTGGTAGATGAACTAACTCTTCTGTACAAGGAAACAGCAGTCCGAAAAAATCGAGAACCTCTTCGCATCCAAATTCTACAGTTGCTGGTGTTGCTTCAGCAGTGAGGAACTACTGCATCATTTATATCTAACTCCATATTTTCTATGCTCCCATAATCTCATTTTACTTTCCTGATCCTCTTAGTTTCCCTTTTCCCATCTAATTTTTCTTCTCCTAATTAGATGCAAAGGTTCACAGTTCGAAAAAGCTTGGGAAAAGCACAAGAATGATACAGACTTGACAATGATGATATCCTCCTTTAATAATCTGCTGAACGAGACTCTGCAACAAGTTCCTTAAGCAATGGAGGTCACTCACAAGATCTACACTGACCTTTTTTGAACAGGAAAACACAGTCCTAAGAAGCAGTAAATAGAGTGGAAATCAATGGAAATCCCAATGGTTAGATGACTGACGCCACTGATTTATATTTTTGTTTTCTGGTACATGTCAATGGTCAGTATATTAAACTGGTACTAATCATGCCTTTGTAAACCTAGTTTGTAATCATCCGTGGGTTACAAGACTCTAATTTGTTTCTCCATTTGAAGTTAAAATTTAGTGGATATAGATTTTGTACTGGTATCCTCATTATAGTTCTTCCCTTGTTCTTGTAATTATAATTCCAAATGGTTAGCAATAATGCTGACAATTTTTGTAGATCTTTTGATTCTTACATTTGACAACCTTTGATTTCTTTCTTAGATTTGAGCATCAAATTTCAAGAGAAAAGTAATGATCGGATAAGACCCTAAAGTCTTATCGTTACTCTGATATCAAATGATAAGACTTTAGGATCTTATCAATTGGTATCATAGCTTTATCTTTTTTTTTAATGCTAAGACTTTAGTGTTATATCAATTGGTATCAGAGCGACGGTAAAATTTTAAGGTCTTATCATTTGCCCACCGTAGTCTTGCTTCCCTTCTTCTTCACCACCATTACAAGGCAATTCTTTCTTCATCGCTGTTTTTTCCCGGCCAGCGACCTTCAACCATCGCTCGACCTCCTCGCTGCCCCCATCTGGTTCCAAAAAAAAAAAAAGAAACAAGAGAGGAAGAAGAAGTCGCAGCCACCCCAGCGTCCCTGCTTCTAGCCAACACCCTCCGTCGCATCGCTCAAATCATGATCCCAATAAACTTGTAAAATCATTTTTCTTCCTATTTTTTTTGGATGAAGTTTGATTATATTATATAATAACAATGGCAATAACAAATCAAAGATGTGGATGATGTCTGATTATATTATTCAACAACAAAAATAATTATAAGTTGTCATAATGCCCGATTCTTCCTTTATATTTGTACCACACAGGATATCTTTCACAGCAGCGGTTCTTCATTAGACCCTTCGACTTGCTGGTTCTCATCTCCGTCCTCCATCTTTTGATCCGTAGACTTCGCCCACAAAAGAAGATACAGGCCCGCTGCGACCAACGCCGCTGCAAGAATACTGGAGGCAGCGGAGGCATTGAGCACGGTGAAGTGAGATCAAACGGGGACGAGGGATTCGACCGAACCTTCCAACGCGGGTGGCGCCTCCCAAGACGAGCGTGTGGAGGAGGAACGAGAAGACCACCAGCAGCGGGGAGAATGCCGTCGCGAAGACGGGGCCTTTCCGGTGTATGCACCAGATTCTTCCAAGGTATGACAGCCCCGTAACAAGGATTCCCTGCGAACATGATCCCTTGGCGTATACAAGAAGAAGAAGAAGAAGAAGACCAAATACGCAGGGAGTGTTCTCACCCCATATAGGATGGCGACGAGCTGCAAGCTTCCTTTCCGATGTATCTTCCATGCCGAAGCGTCCCTCTCCATGAAGGCTGCTACTGTAAAGGTCTGAATGGTACCACATACGGCAATCATGGCCGACAAGCTTAGATCCGCAGGATACCTGAAAGCGATGCTTTCCTGCACGTCAATTGCAGAGTTGAAGTCAACGGAATGGAACAAAGCAAAGCAACAGTGAGTCGTACATTTTTCCTCTGATAACATGAATTAGATATGCAGCAATCGTCATAGGTGTCTTTATAGACACACAATGCGGTTGATTTCTTACCACGGAAAGATCGGCAATGGCACTTGCCGCAACACCAAGTCCGACCATCGTCGTCCCCAGCAGCCAGTCCGCGTGGGATGACGACCCGATCGATGCCGACGACTCTGTAGAGTCACGGTCCGATATGACCATCGCAAACGCACCGGCGGCGGAGACGACCACCCCCCAGAGCTTCGCCTGTCCACCGACGCTCCAGAACCGGAACCGCTCTCGCCGGCATAGCACGGCCAGCACGAACACCAGCGATGGGATCGTGTTGAGCGCCACGCTCTGGAATGTCGTCGTGATGTAACGGAGGCTCGACGAGAGCAGCAGCCCCCCTACTGGGATTCTACCAACAACAAAACCATCATACAAACGACATAGAATTCACACAGGAAGCGGGAAATGGATTCGCTCAACTGCAGGAAGCCGATGACGAACGCCGAGCAGAGGATACGGAAGGTGAGTGTAGGTCTTCTGCCGCTGCAAGAAAAGATGAAGGAGATTGGTTACAGGAGGTAGAAGCCGACATATCTGCGTGTGTTGGGACACCTTTCGAAGAGGAGGGCGAGGACGGAGAGGAGGAGGGAGCCAAGGAGCTGGTAGTAGGCGAAGAGGGTGGTGGCGCTGACTCCGGTGGAGGGGCGGAGGACGGACCGTTGGATGGCAATGAAACCAGACAAGCAGAGGTTAGTCAACGGCATCACGAGGTAGGGAAGCGCCGCCGGACTGGCCAGAGATGCACCCGGCCGGCCGCCGCTCTCCGTTGCCATTCGAGTAATCCTCTCCTCCCTCTGGTGGTGGATGTGATGAGAAAATGAGTGAACATTACTGACGCCTTAAATAATACAGTAAATAAAACGAAAAATTGGAAGAAAGCTGCATCATATCAATTGGTCTCCGAGAAATTGTTAGGTGAATTGGAACACGAAATATATTATTAATGTGATAATATACTAATCAATTCGAATATATTCATTCTGATTCGAAAGTACATATAGCGATTATTTTACGGCAAACATGCATGACTCGTTGATGGATGGGCCGCAAACATGAAGTCTACCACATGCAGGTCTGGTCCACTCCAACGTGAGTTGTCGGTGTCCTTTCAATGAGTGCTTGCCTCCTTTAAAGTTGATGGAAAATAGAAAATTTTTGTTTACCTATTTTTGGCTTCTCTAAGTTTGATATTTTTTTAGATAACACCATAAGTTTAAAAATTCTTATAAACCATCTATGGTCGCATAAAAAGATTATTTTATACTCTTAGTAAATTTAAAAAATTAGTTTTTTTAAACCCACTATCGTGATCGCCTCCGCTCGACACCATCGCACACATCCTTTAGGGCAACGCTCGGAACCCATCGTCGTTGCCTATCGCCCTCATGCGAGGGAGGGCTACCATCGCTCGTAACCATGGCTACTCCTCTCTACTCATAACCCTTGCATGAGAGTCCGTTGTTGTCACATGTAACCCTGGCCTCTCCCCTCTATCTCGCGGTTGGGCGCCACCCATAGCCCTCGAGTGAGGGTTTGCTACTATCGCCTGTAACCCTCGTGCAAGGATCCATTATTGCACATTTGTTATTGGCTGTAGAGGGGCTACGTAGCCTTCACGAAGCCTATGCCTCTATCATAACTCCAACGAGGGTCACTGTACTTTCCTCATAAGACAGGTCTAGCGGAGGGGGCGTTCAATGGGGCAGAAGCACGACTAGGAGCTAGGAAGAAGATGGTGGCTAATAGAGTAGAATAGTTATTTTTAAAAAAAATATACTTTGCGAGAATTTTTCAAATATGAGGCAGAAATTCTCAAACTTTAATTTTTTTTCTAAAAATCCATATATATATATATATATTTATATATATGTATATATATTTATATATATGTATATATATGTATATATATGTATATATATACATATATATACATATGTATATATATATGTATATATATATGAGAGAGAGATTAATATTGGCAGTGGATGGTCTTCGAATGTATGAGAGAGAGACGCTACTATGTAAAGCATTTGAACTCTTTGATGGAAACAGATGTAATATTATTCATCATATTAACAGACGTAATATTATCTGCATAAGTGATTGAGCATTACTACGTATATTAACCATATCTTTCGGGAGTTTCATGGATATCTTATTTTGATTGAAGAGCCATCTGATCCTTCCGATATCAAATTTAAAGAAGAGAAACATCAAACTAAAACCCATTTGATATGTTTCTTCTTTTCTATGTCCTGTGCCATCTCATATGAAACAACAGAATCTAACATGCATACGAGGAACAAGATGAAATAGATGGAGCAACCTGTTTCATATTAGATGGTTCTCTCTTCCGGTATCAAACTTCAAGAAGAAGAACTACAATATATACAGCCTATGACCAGAAGACATGGATTGATCCTTTTGTACATCAAATAAAAGAAGTTTCTTATCCACATCCTGTTTCCTATCATATGATCAAAGAGAAAGCAAACAAACAACAAAATCTAGCTTTCTTACACCCAATTGTACGCATGTGTTGGCTTGGAAGCTTCGAAGTCCACATTAATTTGATGAAATCCAAAGTGTTATTTGTCTCTTGCTTGTGCTGTTCTTGATTGGCTTCCATGGTGATATCAATTAGATATCAATTGAAATCCACATCCTAGTCACATCTCTGTGGGCACCCAAAGCATCATCTCGATCAGCTTCTGATGGTAATAAAACTGGAGTTGTTTGAGAACACCAGATTTCAGTCACAATTCTGCATGATCAAAATGTTTGAATTCCTGCAAATCTTGCCATCACTCTCTACAATGCATGAAAAGTGCCACACTCTCCAAATGATGTTAAGCACAGCAAATTGTTCATTTGGCCTTGACAAACAAGTCCAGTACTTAATTTTCCATTCATGAGCAAGCTAGAAGACAACACTACCTTTGGGTGATCTCTTAGCTATTAGGTTTGTTCTAAAACTTCAATAAATTCACACATATTAAATAGACTTACAATTTCGGTTCAAATGGAAGAATTGCCAAGAAATGAATAACATGAAAATAAGTTGAAAAACTATTGGCAAGTTGGAAGACCGTGGAGGCATCTTGTCAAGGAGAATGCAGCATTTAAATTAGTTAGCTGCGATCTCCAGTCTCGAACTCCTTGATGATCCAACAATCTTCTGCTTCATAAATCAGATTCCATGGTTCTGAATCCTCGGCTTGCTTTAAACCTGGGACTGAATGGTGAGAATGGCAATCGAAGGCTTCTACTTGGCCGAACAATGACAACTCTGTGAGCCATTTAAATGATCGTGAAGTTGGAGAGCAGATGCATCAAACTATTGAGAGCTTCAGGATAAAATTTTCTGGCAAATAAATAGCATGGCCGCTTCATCCCATTCCACAAACATGGTCTCCGTTGAACAACTTTCTGCAAAATGATACAAACAAAAGAAGAATCATTAAATTGTCTTATAATCAGTGAGTTCAAAGAGCAAGTCAATCATAGATTGCAAATATCATATTAAAAATTTTCTAATATCACGTTAGCGTACATCACATATGAATCTGAAAATCAAGAGCACATCAGCCAAACCTCTACAAGAGAACTAAGTAAAGATCCCGAGGAATAAGTTCCCACCCCTAGAATTCAATCTTTTTCTCATATGAAAACTTTGTTGATCAAACAACTATGCTCTACTTGCCAGTTTGAATGTAGTTTGATTGCCTTCCCCATAATTCGAAATGTTTTATTTTATTTAGCTCAAGGCAGAAAATCACTAGGGATTATAAAATAAAAATAAGACCTTCATGATTTGTCTCTAAGTGCAGCATACATTTACCTGCCCTAACTCAGGATGTATGAAAACACTAGCTGATTTCATCAGCTTGTGAACTAAAATAAGTTGATTACAGAGGGATAGAAACAAGAAATTAAAATACAAAGCATATAAGTAATTGTATGAGTCTCATGGGAAGAAGCATTCTATTTGATATAGGAATATTTTCACAAAGATTTGCCTGCAACTTGCACTGGATGACAACTGTCAACACAGTCTAGGTGATAGCTTATTCTAGTTTTACTTCTATAGTAAAATCCACTCATACATCTAAATCAATTCTACCAGCACTATCTTTTATCTCTACTGATACAGATGCTTTTTGATAATACTGTCTCCTCTTAAGAATCCAAATTTCTAATGATTTAATTTTTAAATCCATTTAAGTGAATATTCATCTGCCACAAGCTTTTTCCTTCTCCAAGCTAAGCCTTCTAACATAGACCTTGTAATTGCATTGAAGTTTCTGGTTAGAATGGATACTTGGTTGTTCTTTTTGTTGCAAGAGCTTATAACAACCTTGATAAGTGTCACACTGCATGGAACCCTCCAAAGATTGGTCACAGAGACTAATCTTGGTTCGGCTATTTCAGAGTGAAATAGCTAATGAATTCAAGGTTGGACAACTCTACCAGAGAAAACAAAGGTACCTATGAAGACATACAGACCTGTACAAAATGCTGGCAAAGCATAAGATGTCACGGAAGAAGATCTTTGACATCATATACATATTTCAGAATCAGATTCATCAAAAGCAGAGCAAAGGCCATGACTATCTAAATGATGAATTATAGACCAAACAATACTAAGCTATTGTTCCTGATTATCTCCATTTACAGCAAGTCTTTCCACAATCCAAGCACCATAAATCCATTGTTCATCCTCCTTACCCCCAGTGCATCTGATCTAAATTAATGCTCCTTATCACATATATTTTTTCGTCTTTCCTATGTTTTAATCTCTACCTTTCCAAGTTACACCAGATATTGATCCCAATATCCCCACAATTGCTACAGTAACTCGGATGTTGTCCATTAAACATCCAATATTCTCTATTTATAACCAACTGATACAAGCAACTGACTAAATTTAAATACTAAAATATAGAAAATATGAACATAAACATAAATGCCTTATATTTTAAGAGTGCAAGGAAGAACATCATAATATATTTCCACAGACTGGAAGTAAAGAACAACGCTGGAAGCTGATTCACTAAGCTTACCTTTGAATCGCTTGTTACATGAATGCTCTCATCAATAGACTGCAGATAATAACATCATAAGAATTGATGACTGAATGATTATAGATGAAATATTAAATCTAATGTAAAAACCTTATAAAATGACAATTAGATTGTTTTCTTAGCAATTTACAAGAAAGATGAACATACGATAATATTCTTCAAAAGATCAAAGGTTACATCCCGAGCCCTATAAGCCTTTGGATGCCATTTTCCTTCAGACCAATCTACATGGGTAACTGACCAATTTGCAATTCCACCAGGATCAACCATCTGAAAATTAATAAAAAAGTGAGGTCGTTGGGTAAAAAATTCAATCACAGATGATTACATATAGAGTCATGGACAGAAGTGACTGATATGCTGACATGGAAAAGAGTTGGCAGATAATGTTCATCAGAATAGCAATTGCGTCCTTCCATTCGTGGCTGTGACAGTCAAAACACAAGTTAGAACCGAAGCATTTTATATAGTTACAAGTTTAGTCAAGGTTTGTGGTAAAATATACTAGTATAGTGATCCTATAGGCAGCGTCTAAAACTTCCATAAATCCATGCTTGACTATCCAAAGGCATGTCTACATGATGTATAAATTACAAACTATGATGCTTGAAGAAGCAGAAGTTATATGTGAGGGTAGTGGCTTCCAGCAAATCTGAAATGCTAGACTATGAACTTAAAAGACCACATGATTTACTGATAAGTGGCCCCCAAATTCTTTCGTTAATAATGCATTAATGGTTCAAATTCCAAGAATTAGATAATCCTCTATGCTGAATAGATTCATCTCCTTAAGAACATTTCTCTGCAGTTTAGGCCTGGAAAATCATTCTACTACTTTTACAATTAACTATAGGAGAATTGGTTATGGTTTTAATTAGAAGGTGGTGTCGATCAAAGAGATATGTTTCTATAAAATAATGACTTTAAAAGTTGATTAGCTTAATGCTGTATAAGTCATAGAGACATCATAAGTAGGTTAAAAACCTTATAGAATAATGAGACAACCTTGAACTGATTTATTAGGTTCTACAAGAGGTATACATCTTTGGATAGATCTATAAGCCATGTTAAACAGATTAATTTTCTTTTCAGGCAGATTCTTTTTCTCACTTGTTCTTATAATTTTCAATTCTATGTCAAGTAACTAAACCATAAGGCTCAGATATTGCATTACATGCTATTTTCTCAAAGTTTGTCAGGCTGAAAGAGCCCATAATTTCATGACTTCAAATACTGTTATGACTACTTACTGAAGAAAATCTCTTCAATGAATCTGTTCCTTGTCAAACAAAGAAAGTCTTATAAAGTAACAGTCAGAAGCAACAAATAGTTGTGTTGACCAGGAGAATATCTTGATCAGCTACCCATTGCTAATGACATTTGGAATATGAACAGCCAGTTGACACATTAATTGTTAGTATGATATTTATAGAAAATTCACATTATACAATAACAAAGAATCTCATTATTTAGTGACATAATGAGAGATATTCCATGGTCTATCAACTGAATATGACAATTTAGGGATGCAAAATGGCATCCATTTCAAAGTTTCTATAGAGCAACTGTTTTGTGGTACATGCAAGCAGTAACTTGTATCCTTTATGATAACTTACCCTGCAGTAAAGCTTGAATTTTGTATAGTAAACATTGTCAGCTAGAATTAGCACAGCGTGCTGCCGCTTGATTGAGAACCACTGTTACATGGACAACACTTAGATAAATAAAATAAAAACAATATTATGTAAATAATTAATCACTTAACAAGCAAAGTTGGTTTTCCCCTAGCAAGCAAGTGTTGTAAGTGCATATAGCAATTTCAATAATTTAGTACAGCTCCTTTTGGTAGCTTTAAAACTCAATGCCATGCTCTCTCAAGTTCCAGTAAGAGACAAAACATCTACATCATGGTCTGATTTTTTGGTTTTGGTTCAGTTTCATACAATGATCACAGAAAATGTTTCTGCTGTCTTGGCAGTCTTGGATAAAGTTTAGGCTATTAGGTTCTCTAATTCAATAAGAAAATGAAAAAAAAATTAAGTACTATAAAAATAAGACAAACAAGGAAAATGTTTCTAACACATTATGACTAATGGGAAATAGTATTAGATGCAAAGTTACATGTTTATGATTAAAAAGAAAATAAAAAAAACAACACACTGTATCCATTAAACCAGTTTAACCCATGCATTGGAGTCTTGATAATTGAGGCCTCTTTGTTAGATGGTGATGATGGCCTATGTGTGTGTGTGTGTGTGTATTACATACACAGACACATATATGTGCATATGTATAAGTATAATTACGTATACATATACATTACATATACATATATGTAAATGTTAGAAATCCATTAATGATGAGTACAAATTACTGATGCAATAAGTGTTCTTATAGTATCCAGGTGAGCAATTAGTACAAAAGTTTAAACATAGTCAACTCCAAACTATTGTGAGTAGCCTCTTGCCACCAATCTTACCTTGTTTCTTTGTAATCTTGTAATGACTAGTCCAAGTCAAACTGGTCAGATTTGACATATATCAGGTCTGATACCAATTCAACCCTAAAGCTTAAGCTTTTGGGTTGAATTAGTGCCTAACCTGCTATGTGTAGACCCTGACCAGTTTGACTCGACTCATCATTACAGGTAATGCTGAGTTTCTTTGTAATCTTGTAATGACTAGTCCAAGTCAAACTGGTCAGATTTGACATATATCAGGTCTGATACCAATTCAACCCTAAAGCTTAAGCTTTTGGGTTGAATTAGTGCCTAACCTGCTATGTGTAGACCCTGACCAGTTTGACTCGACTCATCATTACAGGTAATGCATATATATACATATATACACAAACATATACACACACACATAGACACATATATGTGCATATATATATATGTATTTATAATATGACAAAAACCAAATTATCCTTGCTAATAATTGAATTCAACTAAAGGGTACGGTGGTCACTGACTCATCCCATCATTACCAATGCAATAAATTCACTGGAAGAAAATTCGTACCCAATGACCTGCCTACCCTTGATTTGGATTGGCATTCCATCCTTAAAGGACCAAAGGCAACTTAGACCTTTTCCTAATAGGTGCATCTTATAAGTTGCTCCATTAGGGGTTGTAAAACTTTACCATACACACATTTACACACACATACCTAGATGTATGTATAAGAGTGAAAATTTTGATGAAGTTATGACTCTTGAAACCCTCGAGTGTTGTTTATAGTTTGACAAATCAATCTCTGTTGCAACCAAGTCATCTTGGCACAATATTGTTGTACTCTGATTGTGTCAATTTCATTATGATGAAGCAAAGTAGCATTAGTATAGCTTACCTGTGCACCTTTCCTGAAATCTTCCTTTTCAATCTCAGGCAACATATGTTCAGAATATCTGCCTGCTCCATGAGGGCCAGGATCTTTAAAACTGAAAACACAGAAAAGCTTCTGCTAACTCTGAGAGTTCAATTGATCAATTTGGCTATATTATAAAAATATAAAAAATAAGAAAGTAAAGAAGATTCATCAAGGTAAACTATGCAGATTTATTATAAATTTTGCAATAGTTTTACCCGTCAATAAAACTGACATTTATACCCAACAAATAGTTGTATATATAATCAAATTTGTGGAGTGGCACACAACTGCAAAACAATAAACAAACAGTCAAAATTCAGCATAAAAAACATCAACCAATTAAAAAAGAAGAAAGCAGCTTTTTCATAACAATCACCTGTCCGAGAGTAAAACAAAATGCTGATTATCAATATCTTGGAGTGCATTTGCCAACAACCTCTTTTCTGCATCAACCATAGAAATTTTTCCCCAGGCCACCTGCATGCACATTGGATATGTTAGAAAAGCCTTTTTTTTTTGTAAGCATCGATTCATGATTCCAGAAGTATAACTACAACTCTTTCCAAACTGATATGGAAGGCATTTGTTCATTTGATAAAAAATTATCAGTAATTGCTGTAACTTGCTATTTTCATTCACAATTGAATTTTTGTGTTACATAACTAACTAAAAATCATACTTGTAAGTTACAATACAAGTTGTAACTTTTCTTGCTAAATGCTTGTACATTTAACTTTTCTGCTAAAATGTATTTTCTTTACTGAAAAAGGGAAATTGCAATATGAGATACAGTGTTTCCCAAGGTTAGATCCATTTAGTTCACTCACTAGTTTAAGGTCATTAACAACAACAATTAATATATGACCCCTGTTTTAAATTGAACATTATCAAATGGATGCAAAATATATGCTTTGTCATCTTTGTTTTAAGGGCTGCAAATTTTTTGGCTTTGTCTCCATCAGAGAAAATATTATAAGAATATTTTATATACTATTCCAGTGCAATATACTTGAGGGCAAGCCTTTGATGTCGTGCCAGGTTGCTTCTTTATGACCTAGGTATCAAGGGTTCGAATGATGAAACCTCTGGGTCGTTTTCTTTGCCAATACCATACACTTGGATAAATTTCTTGACTCATTCTTCAACCTAGAGAAAGGATATCTAACTTGTTAAAACCAAAAAGATACAAACTTAGCATTATAAACATTTCCATAGGTTCACACATCTATGAAGAAGTTTTTAGAGATGTAGATAAAATTTTTAAGTCTAAAATACAGTATATTTATCTTTTTTTATGAAAAGATATATTTGTTATCCATAAGATATAAGATTATTGTGTATTTATGCTATAATTATTTAATTTGATTCATCAAGGAGGGAAAGTCTCTCTCTTAGTTGACTTTTTCTACTCATAGTGATGGAGGCAAAAAAAATATGTGCAGATAACCTTGCTTCAATCAAAAGAGCTAACAACTTCATTCTTAAGTTAAGACGAACAGAAATTGACCATTTGGGATGACAGACACATAAGTAAACAACTATTACAACAGAAGCACCCTTAGTATTTTATACAAAAAAATGTGCATGTCTCAAAACCACAAAGTGGCAGGAGTCTCATACACAGGACCACCCTTTTAAATTTCTGCATTTCAATTTTGTCAGTTTCACCCTTCTCAATTCAGTTGTAAATATATCTCCAAGAGAAAGAAGGAAGAAATGGATATGCAGAAACAAGAACTATCATCAAGTGACAAGCTCCAACATGGATAACTATACAAATAATCATAACAGATGATACCATAACAAACCTTGTGAGAAACATGAGTAGGATGAAAGAATTCAAGGTTGCATAAATAATATACTACAGCTTATCAGAACTTCAAGCAGAATAGTATCACATCTTAGATATTAGTGGGTAAGCAAGTATCCTCCCAGACCACACATAACAACATTCTCTGACAGTGAATAGCAAGAAATATCAAATATTCAAGTCCAAAAGACAAATCATGCCAACCCTGAAAAACTATATGATAATAATAATCTTAAGCTGGATTGCATCCGAAAAACCAAGCCTATAGTATCTGAGACATGATATGGAGGTTTTGGCTGTAACAGAAGGTCTTACAAAGGCAATTATCTTGTATATTGAAGCTCATGCCAACTTTACTCATCAGCTGCTTATATATCATTTCGAAAAAACATTTAGCATGAAGCCTTCTTTGGCAATCAGATGTAAAATTATTTTTCTCCCACATAGATTGGGTAGTTACCAACACTTTTAGAAGGATTAACAGATGTTATAGCAACCAATGCACCTTTTCTGTTATAACAAATGCAGAATTGCTATGGATAATGAGAACTGGTAGAAAAATTACCTTTTCACTGCGAATTTCCTTTCCAACAAATAATGAACTAATGTGTAGTGGTTTTTCCCTTGACGCGTGAACATAAATAGAAAATTTGTCTCCATGGCCCTACACACATAGGTTAAGGGCATACAAGTCAATAAGTCAGAGAAATCATGCATAATTATCAATTATTGACCCATTATATGAATTTGCTCTCACTAATTTGTATTGTATTTGAAACAAGAAAAACAATAACCAAGAATACAAGCATAGTAGAAAATGATTAAATAATATAAATATCCAAGAAAAGAGTTGTACCAGGAAGAACTTCTCCCAGAGCTTTTCAAAGGGCAGTGAACCTGGTGTCAGGAACATGAACGCAATCTTAGGATTCTTTGACTCAACAGCTGGCATCAATAGAATGTCTCTGATCACAACACGAGCAGCAAGCTCATCATCATTATAAACCCTAGTGTGCACAGGCGGAAGCCACTCTTTGAGGCTACAGACACTGGAAGAGAAGAAGTAGCATGCCGAGTAACGCTGGAGTGGATGGACGTATAGTGCAACCAGTGCCATGCATACCAACAATATCGGAGCAAGGATCCATAGAGGCCTTCTTGAGGGGGCTCTGTGGCGTGAGGCAGGCATGATTTTTGGGTCATTAGTGCCTGGCAACCATGCCTGCGCTATCATGATTATTGAGCTTCATTAATCAGCCAATGACTCTTCAAATGGTAGATGAGCTCCCCCCAGGTTCCTAGAAGCAACAACCAACTGAATAAAAGACAGGGTTCACCAGCACAGATGTCTTAGTTGTTTATGTACTATGAACCTGAAAGAACACAAGAAAATCACACATATCATATTCATTTGCAATGTGAAACGACAAAAAGAAACAAGGAACAATGACTCAAAATCAGCAAAAGAATAAGAATAAGAACAGCAAGATCATTCACAGAATTAACTGAGCAAAGAAGTTATGAAGTAGAAGCTATTCAGATGGACAAGAATGTCAACTTTGCTGGACATAGCTGAAAACCCTCCTCGAATCTTTAATATATTCAACTAGCTTAACCCACTGGAAATGGAAGAGCAAAATGCTCCAAAAAGAGAATCTTTTTTGTCTCCACCAAGCCTAGCTCTCCTCCAGTGTTACAGCTTTCCAGGTTCTTCGATTCTCCGTCACAAGTAAGACGCCGCCGTACAGCATTCTCTCGTCACTTTCCAATATCAAGATCACAAAGAAAACTGCAAGAACTTTCGTAAGGACAATCAAGGAAACATTACGATCCCCTGCAAGCTTATTCATAGCCAACCTAAGTTACAGAAACGAATTCCATTAGAACCAAGCACGCAGCCGTGAGGATCGTACAAGATTCCACCTTTTTCCAAAGCCACAAGCACCAACTCAGGCCATAAAGCAGCACAGCTCGACCTAACAACTCCACCGAAACAAAACCTCTGGAGTTCAAAAGAACTCGAAAACGCCAACCAGAACGACAGAGAACAAAGGGAGAGTAGTGGCGCACCTCCGATCGACGGGAAGATGGATCTTTGGAGCTCAATGGAGATTCTACGGGGCTCGAGGAGGCGGAAGGGCGAGCGAGCGAGGGGGAGTGGGCTGGGAATGGTCTCAAAAATAGCGTTTCGTTATTATACTGCTTCTTAACGCTGCGGTTTCCCATTTCGTGGCGGGTTCAGGACCCGTACAAGTATTGCACGAGCTTCACTCCGATCGCGCCGTTCAAACACTCACAATAAGATGGGGCCCACTAATCCAACGATCAGGATGTAAGAAATAGACGTCCCTCTGAAGGGATGATTGGATAGGATCCTCATTGTTGCGGCGCACTCTGTTCTGGCGTTTCTTTCGTGACGGGTTCGGGATCCCGTACAGATATTTTACCAGGCTAACTTCGATCAGGCCGTTCAAATCATGTAATAAGACGGGACCCATTAATCGAACCACTCACATGCAATCAGAAAACGTACCTCTGTAGGCATGCTTGGAGAAGATCCCTATTCTTGCGGCGCCCCTTTATTCTTGCGTTCTTATTTGAGGAACAATTTAATTCTACCATTCTTTGATTACCCGATCTTCTACCGGAGTCAGGATTGCGAAGAAACCAGCTGCCGTAGGACCCATCTGTTGGGCCCGCATGATTCATCCTGTAATCATTCGAGTAAGAGTATATATTCTACATTTTGGAGTGTCGTTTGTGCTCCAATCAGAGCTTTGTTTGTGCCAACGAGAATTCTTTTACTCGATTAAAGTTGCTTTTTATTTAGATAGGAATCAAATAGAAAAATAATTTAAAAAAATATTAGATTATTTTTAGAAAAATAAAAATTTGAGATACATTATTTCTTATAATTTTAAAGGTTTTTTATGGGATTGGTTCATTTAAGATTACATTAAACCAACAAATTCAAGTAGAATTTTGTTATTGTTTTTTTTAATCGATCGAGCCAATACAAAGCACAATTAAATCATGTTCGACATGATATAATTATAAACAATATCATGTACACTTCATGATCTAAAATGTTACGTGTAGGACTATTTGAGATTTATATTGCTAGATATTGGATACATGAGGGCAAGTAAAGCATTAAGGATCATGATGCGCATTAGAAGCATAAATCGAGATGACATTGTTAAGCCAATTAGTTGTTGTTATCAACTATATTTTTTGAGATTGTGATGTGAATTGTAGGTTAGATTATGGAGCATGTTAAGAGTGTTACATATGGTAAATGCTCTCATGTGAGCTTGTCCCTTGTGTGATTAAATTTATCTAAGGTCTCTTTGGATAAAGTAAGTATTAATGTTTGTAATTTCATATTGTTGACTGTATTTTTTTTATATTTTAAAAAAATAACTCATATTTTAGGTATTTTCCAAAAGGTACCTTTCTTTTATTTTTTTTTTTCAAATAGTAATCCTAATTTAAAAAATATTCAAAATATCCCTCAATTTTTTTGCTAAAATTTTTTATTATTATTTTAATGGCACTTATGAAGTATTTTATTAAGGTACTAAAAATATTATATACACTATTGAAAAGTACTATAAGTGACATCATATTATGCCTCTTTAGTGATTAGTACTTGCAGACCATTATGAAATCATATTTTTATGTTTGTAGTTGGTTTGATTGAAGTTAGGAGTCTATTTAGAACATTTACGGTGTTTCTGATAGATTTTATAATATTTTTATTGTGATAATCAAAATATTATAATAAACTAAGGTTTTATTTTTATTTGGGTGATATTATTTCTAAACTATTATAAATAAACATTTAAATTATAGTATGACATTAGATGTTTCTCATGTGTTTTGATTTTATTTAGCTCATCTACAACATCTTTAAGTATATTCCATATTTTTTATAGTGGTAGTCAAAACATTATAATAGTAAAAAATATTGCAACGAAAAAAAATTTAAGGAATCATTTGGGTATTTTTTAAATTAATGATACTATTTTAAAAAAATAAAATTATGGATACCAATTGATAAAAATCCAAAATGTAGGTATTTTCTAAGAAAATCCTTTTTTTTTGCTTTATAAGTAATGATATTTTTCCTCTATCATTGGAGTTAGTTTGCTATTTTACCAATTATGTTTTTTTTTTTTTTGAATAAGAACTTATATGATAGTCATTGCTTATTCTTCTTAGAACTAATTAATAACTTGGCATAACTCATTAGATGGTAAGACATTATGTAATAGGTGGGAGAAGTACAATTAGTTAATTGAAACACATTCCGACGATAGATGCTTATGTTTATAATTTCTTATACCAATAATATATCAGTCATATGTATTAGTATATCGAATGTCGATACATCAACAATTATCGAGTTTAAAAAGATAAAAAAAATGATAACATGAGACATATACCATCCTATACTAGACTATACAGACCCTATACTAGACATATCGGAACCATATATTTATCGTCTAGTTTATGTTGACCACATATTTAAAATTTATTTGACCATATCTATCGCGGATACTATGATGAGCACATTTGCACTTTATAATGAAGACCTAGTCAATTGATTAATTATTTTTTAAAGTTATATCATGATTAATAATATCAAAATTGATCTAGTATTAAATATGATGAGACGAACTATATCTTAGTTTTGATGACATCAAACCTAAGTAAGGGATATTATAATATATTAAGTTTAGTTATATGTGACACCAATTGAATTGGTTTACCATCTTAGAAAGATTCCATACTAAGTCAAATATTAAATGCTAGAGTTGAAAAGTACATGCTGTAATTGCAATGTTATGCAACTAAAATAATGAGGATTGAGAAGAAGGTGCTGAAGAAAAGCAACAGCACCGCAGTGGTTGAATACAACTCCCAATCAGTTCAAATTAGTCAGTCAGCATCAACACAAAGTCCATTTTGATGTGCAGTAGAATTCAAGCTTTAGAGATGAAATCTGCATCTGAAAAATCAACTTGTAGGCTTCTCTATGGCTTAGACAAAATTAGAGTCTTGAAGGTATCCCAAGACCAAAGATTTGGTACCATTTATACAACTTGTTTCACCATCCTGCTGATGAAAGTCATCAGAATCAAATCAACTCACTGTTTCTCTAATATAATAATACATGTGGTGATGTTGAGATAGGAGAAACAAATTCCAAGATCAATTTTATCTACTAATATGCTTGAGAGTTTTGTGTTCCATTGTTTTGCATAAATATCAATGTCATTGAGATTAAATTGACAAACTATAAGATCATGATTTTGGTGAATATTAGTCCAAACTTGATAGGCATCTCTTTGCTTGAGACGAGAATAAAATTTTGACAAACGAGATGATGGACTTTGGAGTCAGAGTAGTGTGCAGTAATTTGTTGAAATTGACTCTTCTAGAATTCAGGTAACTTAAAAGAACAAATGTTCAGAGCAAGGAATAAATTCTGAAGATTAATTAGTAACTAAATGCTTCCCAGGTTCTATATATCATTTGCCACCAGAGCCATTTCAGAAGCATCTGATGGATGACATGAAGGCAAATTCCAAGTTAGCAGTGCCAGTGATGCTGCAACAGGTGCTGAAGAGGTGGAAGAAGCTTGCCATTGCACCCGGAAACAGCAGCAACAAGTTTCTGCACAAGACACATGGTGTTCCCAAGGGATTCCTCGCCGTACGCGTCGGGGAGGAGATGAAGAGGTTTGTGATCCCGACGACTTACTTGCACCACCACGCCGTCCGAGTTCTCCTCGGGGAGGCGGAGGAGGAGTTCGGGTTCCGGCAGGAAGGTGCGCTGAGGATGCCCTGCGAGGTTGCCGCGTTCGAGAGGACACTGGAGGTGGTGCAGCAGCAGAAGAAGCAACGCTTCTGCTGGGGTTCCCCCTCTGGATGTTGACTGAGGGTGTCTCCCTCAGAAGATGATGTTGCAGATGAACATTAATCTTCATAAGATAGAATAAGACTAGCTTTGAGATGTAGTTAATAATCCGGAGAGTGTCGGAGAACTTTTGACAGTTGATTTCTAGTTAACCTTTTTTGCTTGTTGGGTGTCGCGAGAGATCGGCATGATCAAGAAGAAACATGACCAAACCACAATACAACATAGAAATGTAGAAGATCAAATCTATCGACAATACTTGCACAAGCTTTATGATGGATGATAATTCCCACCATAAACTCTTCATACAATGTAGACATTGCATAAACATTTCATGGATCCTACCATCCATTAAGTCTGTCTATATGATTGCCTTACGATTAGTCTATGCGCGCAAGTCTGTCACAGGTGCTTCCAGCCATGACTCATGCCATCTTCACTAAGCTCTTGAGGGTCTTCTTCTTCTTCTTCTTCGGCTTGGCCGGCGTGGAGTCCGCCAAGGCGTCGAGCAGCTCCTGGAAGTCCTCCTCTTCGCATGGGATCCGAAGACCGCCGGCCTGGTCGAAGCCGAACTCCTCCTCCACCTTCTCCATCAGCTGGCGGAAGGCCGGCAGGCGGAGGTAGCTCGTCGGGATCACGAAGCGCCTCATGCCGTCGCCCACGTACACCGCCATGCATCCCTTGGGCACCGCCGTGTTCGTCGGCTCGTCCACCAACAACGACTGTCTGAAGCTGTCTCTCCCTGCGTTCTTCTTTGTTCTCAGGGGGAACAGCGCTGCGGGGATCTTTGGATTCCGGATGGAGTAACCCATCGCAGTGCAATCAATGGAGTGATCAAAGCCAAAAGCCAAGGAGGAGGAGGAGAAGAAGAGGAGATTGAAGAACATAGGCTCGAAACATGGGTTCAGAACGAGAACATATGAATGAAGAGATCAAAAGTGTTGGGGTGATGGCCGCAAGAGTTTGGAGGGGATGGAGGGAGGATTTGGTGTTGCAGAAATGGTCCGAACCCCTCCCTCCTACTGCTGCGGAGGAGAAGGGACACAGGGCGGCCTTCTTGTTGCCTGGCTGGAGGTGGTTGTCTTCTTTGGCATCAGGCAATTCCTATATTAGGTTCTTGTGGGTATTCTTAGAACATTCGAACCATCATCTGTCTTTGACAGCGAATCATGAATTAGAACAAGATTTATTCTCTAATCGTCTGTGTTGATGGATTAATTTGTGATGCTTAATCTGGTTGTTAGTACCTCAATACATAACATCATGTTGTGTGTGATATTTTTACGTCGGATATCATTGATCGAAGTTTAAGTATTGAACACTTGGAATTATTAGTGTGATGGTATTATGCCAAACTAATTTATTAGAGATTATAGGGGCCGGAGGAAATCTCATCTCATAAATTTTATACGTGAGATATTAACATAGTGAAAGAGTTTTAGATCGTGTTTTGGGAATACATTTATATTTTTTTCTCTTTATTTATAGAATGAGTGAAAGTGCAGTTATTGAATGTTTAAGCGTTTGGTAAATAAAATAAATACATAAAATAATTAGCTAGCTTTAGTATCTTAGTTTATGTACTTTTAAAAGTTACATTGGATCCATATACTTATGAAATAAAATATTTAATCAAGGTTTTTAATTTTGTACTATATTGTTCGGTACAGGTGGTATTAGATTTTTGGCTCCTATATTGGGTGATATAAAGCTATTTCGATCGTTTTCGATCTGTACCAAATAGTAACTAACCATTACCAATTGATAATGATTTTCCAACTATCAAATTGACCATTAGAGACATATAAAAGGATTTTTAAACCCTTTCCTTCTTCCTCTTTCAATCCATTTTACTCTCGTACTATTTTAAACTATCTATCTCAAACTCATTTTTGTTCGTAATCTCTCTCTTATTCTCATAATTTTATTTTCTTAAATCAATAAAGTAATGATTTATAGATTAAATCAAATTAAGAAACTAATTTAAGGATTAAGAGGAAGAACTTTTTAATCAAGGGGTATATATTCTCTTTCTAGATTTTTATTGATTTATGAGATGATTAAGCCTATTCTATACTATGTATGACTTAATGTCTAATATGTTGTTTGATATAATTTTGATGGTAGAATTATATTAATTAGGGAGTAATTAAGGTTTTTAATGTTTTGATTAATGTGTTTAATATTGATTTATTTGAAATTAAACACTTAATAGGTTAAATATTTATATTTCATGCATATTAAGTATTGGATCATATGTTTGTGATAGTAAAATATACTTAATTAGGTTTCAATAAATTTATTTAATATTATGATTAGTGACTTTAATGATGATTTAATCAAAATTTAATTAATATTGAATCAATTCAATTTCTTTAATATCTATTAGGGTGTTTGACATATTTATAGTGTTGAAAGAGAAGTAATTAGTAAGTAATTAACTATGTTAATTATATGATTAATGTATCTAATGATGATTTCATCGTAATTTGACATATTTTTTATCCAAATTATATATTTAATGTTTATTTTATGTATTTAACATATTTATGATAGTAAAATAGGTATAATTAGGTTTTTATAAAGTTATTTAATAATGTGATTAGTGATTTTAATACTGATTTAATAGAAATTTGTTCGATGTTAGATCTATTTAATGTCTTTAATACCGACTATGGTACTTTACATGTTTATACCTTATTTGATTTAAATTTGATAGGAACATGACACCAAAGAATAGTCATATGATGATGCTTGGGCTTATGCCCAAAAGATGAATGTGAACCATTATCATTGGTAATGTATTTATTATGACTATATTGGTAAGAGTGGAGGAATCACTTAGGTGAATATTCATTTGGCAGACGAGTATTCTGATATTGCAAAATGTAAGAAGGTTCCAAGGAAGGTATGTAAATCATTTCAAAACAAGTTACAATAAGCAAGAGAAGAATATTGTAGGGCTACGTAGAAACCAGTTTATGATGACTATGAGGGTTACGACGATGAAATCGACTCAGATCTCACAATTGGTATTCGTGTATCACTAGAGCATTAGTATATATACAATGAAGCAATGAGACATTGATGATGTGACTCGCAATGAGATCATGATGGTAACAGTAAAATCCAGAGGTCGGCCAATATAAGGTAATTAATTACCCCTCCTCATTTAAGTCAAAATAGTAGCATGAGGCATGATGGCCTTCGTATTTTATAAGAGGTCTTAGAAGGAGATCCGTACTAGATATTGTTGATATGGATCCATAAGTCTATCCTTCACAAATAGTGAAACAGATAATGATTGACGATACATATACAAAAGAAAAGAAGTAAGATGTTGGGAAGGCAATTTCAAAATAGTTCAACTTTCATAGGATTCTAGTAAACATAGCCCAAGGTCCATATTAGCAAAGCATTGTCTCCTCTATTCAAAAGTCTAGTATATAGATCTAACCTCTAACACCAAGGGAGATTTATGACGTATATTTAGATGATGAGGTAGCAGAACTAAAGGATTAGATCAAATCCCCAAGAGATAATGGGACGAATATATAGTGATATTGATGTATGATAGTTGGACAGGGCCAACAAGAATAAGTATCATTAATTTTCTTATTTATTATAATAAACAAGTAATATTTTTTCATCAAGTATAATTGATGAAAAACAAATATTATTTTGGACTTCATGTGTATCACATTGTATGGATCTAATGCTGAAGGATGTTAGAGAGCTAGCATAAGTCAGCAAGTATGTAGCTCGAGCACAATCAATTATAAAATTTATATATAATTATCATTGGGTTCACTCTTTAATGTAAAAGTATATAAATGGTGAAATACTCCGACTTAGAGTCATTTGGTTTATTAACCAATTTTATTGCCTTAAAGTCATTATAACAAAAGAGGCATAGCCTCAAGGTAATGGCCACCTCACAGGAATGGTCTAATTTTAGGTATTCGAGATTGAGCGATAGTAAGAAGATAGAAAAGATCATTCTTTCTTCTAGATTTTAGGAGATCATGAATAAAATTATAAAAAGTATGAAACTATTTTATATTGTCCTCCTTAAGGTTAATATGGACAAGTGTTCATAGATATCTTATCTTAAACATATATTGATTACAACAAGAGAGGAGGTCAAAAAAAATATTCAAAGATAATTTTAAGGTCAACTAATACTTACAGATCATTAATCGTATGACTAAAGTTCATATAGATCAAGATATCAATAATGCAAGTAAATTCATATTTAGTGTAATTTAATTTAATTTAATTTTTTATTATATAAAAAATTTTACTAATAAAATTATATCTTCCAGCATATTATCTAAACCTGATAATTCAATATCGATACACTCTTGGAACATAAAATGACTACGGTATTAAAAATATTATATATCAACTCTTGTCAAACACTATTTATGCAGTCGATGCTATTATGGAGGACCAACTATTCCGAGATATAATTAGTTCATTCTCCGATATTGTAGTTGTATCATGTTGTTATACTATGGATCCTGGTGAGGAAAAGTTATATATATTAATTATCAATTATATTTGATCTTAATTATTTGTTATGCTAATAAAGTCTTGCTTATATCTTTTTATAATTGAATGGTAGTTATAATTTAAAGAGGACGCACCAAATTTAAGGAAAATTATCGTTTGTGTACTTTCGCCAATGACATCTAGTGGTTGCAAACGTAATTGGTTAACATTCACATTGATTCACATGAAAGTCCATAACAGACTATTGTATAAATGATTGAAGAAACTAGTATATGTCAACTATAACATGCGACTAAGGAGCCAAAAGAATCAAAAATTAATCCCATCGACCTCCATTTCTACAACGAAGATTCAGAGCAATGTTAGAGTGGGTCAAAGCGATAGAGAACCAAGAGGATCCTCTACTTGATAAGATGGGAGATCCTCAATATCCTTCTCATTTTATCACTAAGGCAATAGAAGAAGAGGAAGGAGGAAATCTCCTTCAGTCATAACATGACGGAAGGAGCCAGACAAGATCGAGTTAAATTACTTTAGGAACCAGAGACACCCAACCATCACGATCATCTGCCTAATATACAAATGCAAAGGCAAAGGGAAAAGAAGTAGTATCGGCTATACTATTAGAAAGAATCGAGTCGGGTAATAAGATACCTTCGCAATCACATTCAGCAACTCGATCAGAGACATGATAGTGATGTGGATAGCAATGCCTACTGATGATGGCGATGATGCCAGGGAGTCGATGATCTCGTCTACATAATTTGAGGGTGGTGCATGGACCAAGGAGTAGTATTTTACATATGTCATCAAAAATTCAGATCATAGAGCTTGATGAGGTATTGGTCGAGTTTATGCATAGAAGAGGAAGCTAATGAATGATTTTAAGCAGATGCAATAGGGCCTACATGATGTAGATACGGAACGAAACTCATTGTATTCACAGCCATCGTATCATGAAGAATCTTACGGCCAACAATAGTATAGTGATAGTTTGTCATACTTCTCCAAGCAACACTATGATACGAAGCAACATATCAGTAGCGAAAGTATGAGTTCTTATATTCATCAATATATGCCTTAGGAGCTACCTCGGACACATATGATTCATAATGATCAACCTACAACTATTATTACATTGATGCACCAATGGTATACGGTATATCAATATATTATGTTGTGGGATCAATTTTAAGATTGAGTCTGATAAACATATCATATTGATATACAGATACATACAAACAAGGACTCGATCCACCATTCGTGGAGACCCATTATTCGTTTTGGTAGTAGAATCAAGTATATCTACATATTTAAATCTTAAGGTTTAAGTTATATATAAAATAATCTAACATTTCAAATAATTTTTTTATAAATAATTTAATATTAATATAAGAATAATGTAAAATATATGGCAACCTTGCACAAGGCTGCTCCTCAAAGTTTAAAAAAGATATATTGTATTGTTCTTACCTAATTTACATTAGTTTGGCTAAAACTATACTAAATATATATTTATTTCTAACTTAAAAATCTTATTCTAACTTTTTTTTTCTATTTTTTAAGTATTTTTGGAAGATTTTATACTTATTTTAGGTATACTGCTCGGTACGTCGGTACGATACGAGATTAAAAACCTTGTATTTAATCTCATTTCTCCTCACGTTGTCGATTCTATTGATGAAAATACCATAGGGTTTACTATTGAGTATATACTAACTTTGTCTCATTTCGATTTACTATTGAGCAAATATGGTATTTTCATCAGCAGAGTCAATGGTGCAAGGAGAAACCTCATGGATTCTAATGTCTTTTAAAAGTATAGGAATCGGAATGTTAAGTGTAACTTTTGTGATTCGATACGAGAGCATTTGATATTGTTAGACTCACTCATTCAGACTCAGATCCTCTAGGTTTAGTCAAGATGGTCCGATAAAGATTCCTTAAGACATTTGAGTGGCTCTCCTTCTAGCGCTAATCTATTAAGTTAGATTTTAATTGTCCGAGATAGAAATTGATTTGGATCCAACCTAATCCTTTCTTCGAAATCCGATCGAACAAGTTCTTGAGTTTAAGACTATGTGTTAAGATGTACTAGTCGAATCCTTTTTTTAAAGGAAACTCCCAGGACCATTACTTCTAGATGATGTGATGCTTATAGAGGACGTGGTGCATCGATCTTGAGCATAACTATCGCCACTTGTCGAGTTTGGGATGGCATAATGCTCTAACATGTGGTATTGATCGGACATCGAGGGATGATTGATTGCGAAGGCAAAATGGAATCACATTGCCTTTTCCCTAACATGATGTATTGGTCGCTTAGCTTATTCTGAATCGAAAACAAATGCGGGCATCCGACTGTTATTTCAAAGTAGTATTCGATCACTTTTCCTTGCGTGCGCAAAGGGATTGCAGATATCAAGTCACTAATATGGAGTTTTCTTCAACTTGTAGCTTTGCTACTATAGCAACTACTTAGACTAATCTTTGAAAATTGTTGAGGATATTAATATGCTAATGCACAATTTAAAGAATGAAAAAAAAAAGATAAAATAGATCCATATTAATGATAGTAATTATTCCACTGTCATGGATAATTAGAGGATTTCATGAGTCTAACATACTCTCATTTATATTCAATAAAAAACATGAATAATCTACTTATCAAAAGCACAAGGCTCAACCATCAAAAATGGAAGAGAACAACATATAACATTGATTCAGAAAAAAGGATTTAAATCTCAATCACCAAACTGATACAGTATCAGTATACCTGACATTATACCCCCCAAAATAAATAGTACAAAATAATATCGATCGGTACCATGCTATATGGTCTAATACTGACCTGATATTTGAATTCATGGGTTTGGATCACACGCAAAAGAACATTTTTGAAGATCTATCCAATGTCCTTACAATCAATCTAAAAGTAAAAAATGCACACAAAAAATTACAACGAATAATAATGCATGGATGTAGTGTTTGTGCAGTGATCAAGATGCAAGTTTTCAGCCCTTCCACAAATGCATTGTTCTTTAGGAAATTGAGTGAACAGCAAGCATCCAGGAGAGAAGTATATGAAGGTGGAGGTAAAAAGTTCCTTGCAATAGAAAAGATCAAGCAAGAGAATTGCTTGTAGTCCAGAAGCCAAAATTTACTAATAAGCTCCACTACAATCCAACATGAAGAATGTTCACAAGTGTCCCATGCAACAAATATGGATTCAACAAATTGAGCTGCCCCCTCAGGCTTCATAACAAACCAAAAGAAAAGAAAAGGGAAAACTTTCTTTTCTTTTCTTTTCTTTTCTTTGGATTTCCCGACAGAATAAGGTACAAGAAAGAATGAATGGAATTTCACATCTCCATGACCACCATTACAAGATAGAACTCTACACAACATGAAGTGTGGGAACCATCATCCTGAACGAGGAAGTTTTAAGCTTGATTAAGAAAATTTACACTAGCAACATCTATCAAGGGGTCGAGTTTTCTGGCCATCCTCTAACAGCCTGCGGCCTTCAGGAAGTTGTCATATGGGCTTGAGGCTGGGAGCCTGAGGCACTGAGGCTGATGATGGAACTCAGCATTTAATATCATATTGTTGCCACAAAACTGTCTTTGCAGGTCCGCACACAATTTCTCGTCAAGGAAAGGATTACCACTCTGCACCCACATGCTAATCTTTTAACTTGACAGGCTGAAGTATATGCATTTAATTTCTCAACTGAGCTATAAAAACATGTGTGAACAACAAATCCATAGAAAAAGTGAATAGGGTTGAAATTATACATTAAGCTAAACAAATCTGCAAAATTATCTAAGATATCCATGAACAGGTATTATTTTAGTGAAACAGCAGAATAGTTACTTGTCTCAAAACAAGAGGCACAAGTTTAAAAATCCTAAAGAAATGAAGCAAGTTTCGAAGGTTTTAAAACAAAATTCCAATTTAAATATAGAAACTTTAGAGTTGCAGAAATAGCATCTCATAGCCGACCAGAAAGTGTATGTTGCATGGCATCACCATGCTATAAAATAAAGATGAAGAAGGGCATAATAAGATAAATCATTTAACATCATGATTTTCCCAGAGATCTGCGGTGATACCTTTTCGGATTGGTTAGTATTGGAGAATGATGACTTTTTCTCTTCATATAGTTCTTCTAAGGGACCACCAAATAAGATATCATGATTTTGTTGAGCACTTGTGAAGACAGACATTTTTTGTTGCTTTCCCATTGTAAGAGCCTCACAGTGACCAGCCATCTCTTTGAATGGCACATCAGAGGTGGATGACGCAGAAAATCTTCCAACGGGCCATGCTGTCTCCAAGACCTGAAACAGAATTTTTTACATAAGAAAGAAACAAAACCATATTACTTGCATTCAGTATTTTTCAATACAAACATTTGCTCCTTCCTCTAGCATTGTTGACAATGCGAGATGGAAAGCGCAAAATATTTTAATTACAGGGTAAGTAAGAGGTATGAAAAGTGAGAACCAATGGGCAATAGCTGCAGTACAAAAGTGGAAAAGAGTGAGATACCACTACAGATCATACCAGAAAATGTCCCACGACATGGTGTTCAGTTAGAAATGTTACTTCAGAAGAGTCAATGACAATATCAAATTTACTGGGCTTTTCTCAGCCATCAGAATGATCCTAGTCCGTGGCAGGGAACAAGTTCTGAGAGGCCTTAAGAATCCACCACAACAATTCTATAAAAGTTTGTCTGTGGTGCACAAATAAGCTCATCAAAAGGGTAGACTCAGACTCATGTGCTTAAAATGAATTCTAAACATGATTATAAACCACAACACATTTTTAATGCATATGGCATAAATGCACAAATGAATCACTTATTGCATCCAGAAGACAATATTGTCAATCTGAGTTGTTGAGAATTTGAGATACAAATTGATGCATAAAGAATTTAATTTTTTTGCGAATGCCATTTCAATAGTTACCTTTAGAGCTAAAATTTTTTGCAATATTATTGGCAAATGACTTTTGAACATGCTCCATACAGATATGATGAACCACAAGGGCAGTGTCATCTGACTCAACTCAACCATAAAATCTTATGATTAATGTTTTACAGAGGATGAGTCAGAAGCTGATTCATATACCAGTTTTAACATGTAAGGTCAAGTTCTATTATGCAAACATGCCTCAGGAGTTCAAGCTTTATAATTCTCAATTTCTCAATAATATTTTCCTCACATAAGTAATATCACATCCTTCCAAGTTTCTTGTGATTTTTCAAGTGGTAAAGTCTCATGATTAAGTATAAAAAAACCCAGTGAGCAACATGTAAAGTGATCAATGTAGTAAAGAAACTGAAAGAGAGGTGACTACTAGTGTTTAAATTTTACATAGAATTTTCCATAGAAAGATTACTCATTTTCAATATTCTTGTGCAGTGTAAAAGAGTATAAAAAGTATATAAATGGAAACCATACTGTTTCTAAAAGCTGATCGACGCTGAGAAGATCGAATGTGCCATTAGCCAATTGTGAATGGTCTGTTACTGTTTCAAATCCTTCAGGAAAGTTATCAAAATCAATCAGATTTCGAGATGTAACCTGTAAAATAAAATTCAGTTGTTTAAATGAGAAAACTTTTAAAGACCAGTTAAACTACAAAATCATCACCTCTAGGGTGTTCTCCTTTTGAGACTCAAATGGCAAAATCTGTCCAGATGTTTCCACAAACTGAGGCCTAAGTGGACCAACGTCGTCTGGCAAGAAGTCACTCAGCAGTTGTGTTTTTATAGTAGATATTTCTGACTGCAGGAATGTGCAAAAGTAATAAGAAACTGAAAATTGAATCAGAAGTCCTCAATATATGAGATTTAACCATGAAACTAAGATTTTTTTTAAGGATTACATCTGATAAATCGCTTAAACTATTCATGATCAGAGAAACAATGGATTCTTTGGACTGGCTTTCTGTCAGTTCTACAGCTTGAAGAGATTCTAAGGCATTGTTATCATCCTCTTGTGACCCATAAGCTATTGAGAAATTGTTGGATGCAGTGTTCACAGCTTGAAGTTTACCGTCTTCAACCAACCGGAGAAATGGATCAACCTGGACAAGGACAACCGTTTGTGATGATTAATAGGTTTGTACCAAAAGGTGAACTTATTTTCATGGCAAGTAACACATGAGATGTACACTAGATATATGTCTGAGAAATTAAAAAAAACAAGATAATGTGCTGTCAACTTTACAACTCTAAAAATAATTAGTTCATAGTTGTAAAACAAGGACCACACAGGCCGGTCAGACCAGAAAAACCAAGAACCAAAGCCTCGATTAGTTCAGTTCACTAATTAAATTTTCTGAACATTGAAAAAACTAGAATATCCCCCGTTATGTATTTATTATCAAATATATTATTGAAGGGCATTTTATTTTTTTTCATTATAAGGATGAAAGAAAATAATATCTATTCTCTTAAGCCCCTTAACGTGTCTGTCACTCCCCTTTCATCCCCTTTTCATTATATTAAAATTATTTTTATAACATTACCCATATATTTTATATTTTTAACATAACATATAATTATTCTTATAGTTTTATTAAGCCTACAGTTCGATCAATTGACTCATTGATTCAATCAATTATCCAATGGCCCAATGATGTAGGAGCAATTTAATTTATATATTATCAGAATAAATTTTATTAGCTTAGAGATATTTTACATATGTCATAAGTTGTCACAAGACATCTCAAGACGAAGAAGAAAAAATAATGCAGAAAAGAGTGAAAGAAATTAAGTTTGTTATTGACTAAAGATCTCAAAGATTCATTTCTATAAAAAATGAATTATCAATCAATAATATTACCAAGAAAAGAAATATTATCCTTCAAATCAAGTCAAGAATATTATCTTCTTCAAATGAAGGAACATATAATATATTTGATTTGATATGATAGTAATTTTTCTTATTTTTGGTCTTTTACATATCTCAATGGCAGCAAAAGATCTATGTAGCCGACAACAAATAATTAAGACTTACAACTTTGTTGTTGTTATTATAATTTTTTTATTCCTATAATTTCCTTTTTATTCTTGTAGTTGATCCAATAAAAAAGGGGCTAGAACATTGTAATGCATCAACCATAAATGAATCAATGAATTGAGTTCTTCCCACCATGTGTGTCAGTGGTGTGAGAGCACATTTATATTTCCAATGAAATGATTCTATCATCCACATGCAGACATGAGGAGATGCGAGATCTTCTTCCTGAAAGTTCGTTTCTTGAGCCAGAGTGAGTCTTGTAGTTATCCTCAATGATCGTTGTTTCACTCGGACCGTTATGAAATGGACGATATGTACCAGTCCGAACGCTAACCGATACGTGGACCAACCACGGTCTGATTTGCTGCATAAAGGAGAAGTGGAAAACCCTAAATCCCACTTCCGCACCGTCTCCGCTTCTCATGTGATCGATGTTTGTGAGCCTACAACGTCTTACCGTCATGACATTCGCTTGCCGCAATTGATGATGCACACTGCCATACGATCAATGCTGCGATTGATGCTTCTCACGCAAGTGACTACCGATGACCTCCGTTTGCTGTGACCTCACTGCACACGACCACATCTCAGGTTTGTCTCTTCTCCTCTTCCTCTTCCTCTTTCGCCGCTTCCTCTTCTTCCCTCTTTCTTCCTCCTCCACCATCCCTTCCTCTTCTCCTTTTTTCTTCCTCTTTGAAACATCAATACATATCAATGTATCATGTGTTGGTACACTGGTATAGACCGGTATGTATCGGCCTGACAAATCTCTAAGACAAGTCCAATACCCGAAATGGTCAACCTTGGTTATCCCTTTGTTTTCCTATTGTTTTTCAGTTAAAAATATTTGTAATCAAAGTGGTTCTAATCCTCTCTTTCTGGTTCCTCTATTACCAAAAGAAATTCACTGCTTCTTTACCTACATCACCCAAGACTTGACCAGGTCAATGTCTAGCCAAGTTCTGATAACTATGCATTAACTAAAAATATTTGTTCACAGGCTAAAGCAGAAGGAGGTCAAAGGTTGCAAGTATTCCGATAATCTCACATAACCCATACATGGAAAGATAATGGCATAATAGTAATCAAAGTGTAACAAAATTGAAGATAAATTGCAAAATTCTTTACAAATGACTACAGTTAAGATGCTTGTTTAAAGGGTCTCCAAGTTTTTGCAATTCTTTTGAAATATCTAGAAGCTATTCATGTCAATAAGTATGCTTTTAGTACATATAAGGAAGGTAAGAAAGGTATAATAGAAGTAAGATGCTAATATGCATACCGTTCTCTCATTAAGAGATGACTTAACAATTGGAATAAGAGGCCCTATATTGAATGCTTTTGAAGAAAAAATAAACATAGCTGTTGTGAGAGTATATAGGGAACGACGACGTGATGGTGGAAGAGAACCTACAAAGAGTTAGGCAAAAAGTCAACAACTGGGTTTGTTAACATAACACCATTAAGAAAGACTACAGAATGAAAAACTAACATACCTAATCTAAATTATCTACAATTCTAAATTGATCGAGTGACCAAAATACTATATCTGACAGATTCTCTCATGTCTCATACTCCATGCACAAGAAATATATTCCTACTCAAAGGACAACCATTATTTAAAATGAAGTATAGTTGGCATATAAACGTCCTTAACAACTTAACATTACCAAATTTCTATTTCAAGTGAGCCAAAGGGCAATTGTTTTCAGATGGTCGTGGATCATAATTACAATCAAACATGCATCTTCTCGATACGGTAGAAAACAATCAAAGGCCAATTAAAAGTGGAGCAATCAAGTCTTAGTTATAAACTGAAGAACAATAATTTAAAAAATAATCTGAGCACCCATCAAAAAGCCATCCAGACAGAAAAAGCCTGGAGATTAATTATGTTTCTACCACAGGAATTACTTGGATTGGATGGACATGAAATAACCACTTAATAGTTTAGGTGAAGACTAATCGGCCAATTTAGGTAGGAAGTTCAAAAAAAACAAATCAAACTAGCTTTGGTTAATGATCTTAGCAGGGAACTTCGTTTCACCCGGACCATTGTGTACCAACTACAAACCAGTATTTAGCAGTCCAGCATGAACTGGTACACTGTCCACCCAATTTCGAATGGTCCAATCCGGTGTAATAAAAAAATATACTTTAAAAGTTTGGAAATAAGGGCTCGCAATTGTGAGCCTTCTCTGTAAACCCCTCTTCATGCCTTGGTTGAGGGTATAACTTATTAATATGTCAAAACATTCTTTTGTTGATCCTTTTTAATTAGACTAGCATAAAAAAGCATGAAGGAATTTCTAGAAATTTGAACAAAAAAGTCAAAATTTGTGATCTCCTTAAAAATTCAAAGGGAAAGCATGACACTTTATGTTACATACATTCCGTAGTATATATCAATGCAGAAAAAAGTATGGTACTGCAAACCTAATTTGATTTTAGTTGATGGACATTTCAAATTAAAATTGTACTCCACTTTGTGAGTTAGAAATATTACTAATACTTCATCATTGGAGACAAGAAACAGACTACAGGTTTCAGGCATATGTTAGAGCCTAAAACATAATCTGACAAGACAAATTGTACACACTATTTTAAGAATTAAGAGAACTTGGATTAAACAATGTTTTCTACATGACACTTCATGTGGTCCAAAGATGGATTACATTCAATTCGATTCAATAACTCATTGCACATAACTGCAGAATAAAAAATCTTACCCCCTCCAAGTGAAATGCTTCTTAGAGAGAAGGTAAGCTGAAAACTCTGACAAAGACATTCATGGATTGAGGTCTGTAAAAGTTGAAACAGAAACAAACTGAGGATAGTTACACAAAAAGAATCCATTTACATCACAGTTGAGTTGTTTGAAGCTAAATTGTAAACCTATTTAACCATCAAGAGACAACATCATTTTTTTAGCTGGTATCTAATAAACTCCACAATTCATAAAAGAAAAAGAGAACCTAAAAACTTGGCTGAAACTTCTAGAGAAAAGTGAAAACAAAAGGTCAAAAACAAATAGCTTCCTCTGCTTTAAATATATATGTTCATATGGAAGCAAAAGGCCATCAAATGACTATTTGATAGAAATTTTAGTTATATTTATTATTTATTTGTCTAACTTTTTCTGAATCATTTAGTTTTCACAAATGTTTTTGAGATATCACAGTTCTTTATATAGTTCAATAATACAAAACTATGCCATTTACTAATTGAACTTTGTAGAGGTTTCTAAATATTGATGGAAGGCATTCTAACGGTTGAAATGGAGAGCTCAAGAAACAAAAGTTGTGAAAGAATGTACTTGTATAAGTCATTTTCTGCAAGAGGCACAGAAGAAGTTTAATCATATTTGCAAAACTGGGTACTTTGTCAACTCATAACAAACTACAGCAATAATGAATAGTCCATAACTTAGATGTCCAACCCAAAGAAACATTTTTTTGCACTTTGCATGGTGGCTAAATAACAGAGAACAAGATAATACTCTACCATAGAACTGCATCTTACAAGAAAAGGTAGAACAAACACAATTGCTGACAAACAACATGCAGTGTCAAAGCAAGTATGTAAAGAACAGATGAAATGATTAAAATATTTTGATTAATGGCAAGTTTTCCATTTTGATAATACTTGGAGGTCTATTGAAAGGTAAAAAGATTATAACTATGATAATGAGTGAACAGTTCTTTGACGCACATTATGAAGGATAATGAATGAAACATGCAGAGGTGCAAGATCTTCATACCAATGAGTTACTTAAGCCAGATTGAATCTAAAGTACTTTTTTTTTATTTTCATTCACAATTATTATCTTTCCCTTTGTCTCTCTTCTCTTTCATCTACTCTTAAAAAAAAGAATGCTTTCTCTGCTCATCATGAACTTCTGATACATCAGAGAAACATGTTTTTCCAAAAAGTTAAGGACATAAAAGTTAATAATATTTACTGGTCCCAAATTTTCAATTCATCCACTTAGCCTTTGCAAAATCGTGAGTTGCTTGTACACCCGTGTAAATGTGGAAAGCCTAATAATTGACTCTCTCGTCATGCCCCATTATCCAATCACATCAAGAGCCATCGTTAAAACCCTGGTTTAGTAACCAACCCTAACCCCAAAATAATCAAACTGCACGAGTGTGATTAATTGTTTGACCACTATTTCAGAAGCAATTGGGATTGACATTACAAGTAGAAAAGTGGGAAAAAGAGCAAAAGGGAGAGAGAGAAGCATGTGAAGAAAGGGAGGATCGCATAAAAGTGCAACCTTTCTCAAATAGTAATGACAAATTACTGCTAGTTCAAGATCTAAAATCATAAAAGAAAAAAAGCCAAGGTGAAAATAAAAAACTACCATAAAAGAAGAAAAAACCAAAGTAGAAATAAAAAACTTTTATAGTACTTCTCAAAATACATACAAGATCTGAACTCCAACTCTGGACTTGACTACTCCGAACTTGGGTCCCTTGGTTTAAGTTGTAATTCTAATCCTATAAATAGGTATGATATATAACAACAACAAAGCCACATAAATAGCTATGGTATACAACAACAACAACAACAACAAAGCCGTATAAATAGGTATGGTGTCTAGGTATGTAAATTACTCAAATATTTAGTATCTAGGTCCAAGTGATCCAAATTCAGAGTAGCGAAGTTTAGATTGGAGTTCAGAGTCTTGTCTTTTGAGAAGTTCTATAAAAGATTTTAGTTTCACCTTGATTTCTTTTTCCATTATGGTTTTAGATCCTGGGCTAGTATCACTCTGTTACCAACTACTTTTTGAGAAGGTTTGTACCTGCATGTGATCATTTCTTCAAAGAGCTCAAGGAGAGAGTTTAGAGATAAGACAAAGCTAAAGAGAAAGGGGATGCAGGGGTGAAAGAGGGGGATCAAGGGAGAAAACTCATGGGATGAAGAAAGCTCAAGGGAGGGGGAGGGAGAGATTGTCAGATATAGAGAAAGAAACGAGTAGGTTCTACTCATAAATAAAAGCTCTGAATGGAGGCATTTTAGTGTTTTTGCTTTCAAATGGTCCTTGCACTGGTGGCTAGACAGTATACGTTGATAAGAGGGGTAAATATATGTTTTTTTTTAATTTGGTGAATAATTCACAGCTTTGCCAAGGTATTTTTACAATTATGAGAATCTGGTAAGTTACACAGGCAAAAATCCATAAGAATGTCCATGGTAGAGAGATAAAAAATTACTTCAGATGTAAAAATGCCTTACAATAAGCTGCAAAACTAGACTTTTATGACAGGCTAATATACATAAAACAAGGGGATTTTGGGAATCTAAGTAAATACCAATGGGAGACCTTATCTGCTAAATTAAAAACATTTAAGTAGCCCTTAATGATATTAGGCCTCTAATAACTTGCATGCTTAGAGTAATATGGCAGGAATTTTAAGCTACCAGAAAACTTCAAACAAAAAAATTGCAGTTTTTTCTTCTTAGAAAAATTGTGAAACATAATGCCTCTGATGACATGGCATTTTATTATCCTATTAATAGTAAACCATCTATTATTCCCTCCTCTCCAATATAAAGCTAAATAGAGTCAAGAGTAAATGGACAAAAGGTTCATTCCTAAATTCCTTCAGCTCTATTTTGTGCAACCTTCATGTGCTTTGACCTTAGATAATTAGGAAAAAATTCTACAACCTAGACAAAATAGATAAACAAAATATGGGAACAAAAATCATGTGTGGCAGAGACATTGCCTAAAATTGCTACTATATTTTTCTATTACCTTCTTACAAGTTACAAGTACTGGATAATGCAATGAGTTCACCATTCAGAAGAATAATAATTGGTGACCACTATTTGGGGAATAAAAAAAAGAAAAATCTGCACAAAAGCCAATGGTGATGCCTGTAAGACTTCTTTTGTGTTGACTAACAACAGAATTTGTCGTTGATATACTAAGTAATCAAGTAGTATGAATCTCTTAGACAAAAGAACAGCTAACATGCGAGAAAATGCTAAGGTTCTTTCTATAAAGTATTGATGGTTAATCAAGTGCTAAAATATGATAATATTAACCAAAATCAGTTTATATATTGGAGGACATCTATATGTAGAGAAGTTGCAAGGAAAAAACTACATTTATCTTCCCAGTCAGGCATTAAGTTCCAACAGGAAGATAACAACTAGTGGTACAACTAAATCTTAGAAAATGTAATTCGTTACTACTATTTTCCCACATCATTGTAAAGGGGATCCTCAAATGCATAGAATCTATCTCAGAACATGAGTTCATATCAAAGAAAAAAAGGAAAAATTATATGGGATCTACCACTAGTTGCAGATAATGTAGCACTTTTATGGTCTTTATTACCTTTGCTCGAGAGAACAACAGTGTCAAACTATAAGAATGAGCAATTGCTTCATAGTTATCTGGCATATTTTCAGGGGACAGGGCCTGAGCCCAAATGGATGAAAGCAGAAGCGTTATTTGACGGTTGTTCAATCGTAAAAGAACTGAATCCTATAAGCATGAAGAAAACCAATTTGTTGTCAGTATGCTAACCTTCCAAGAGCTAATTAAAGCAAGATGGAATAGCAGACTAGATAATAATTGATTCAGTTAAGACATCAACCTTGTTTGACTTGTTCATTGTAACATTGTCTGCAGTCACAGGTGGAGTGACTTTTATGCTACGAGCGCGGCTTCGAGATGACTGAAGCTTATAAAGTTGTGCCTCATTACTGCTATTCTCTCGTCCATCATAACTATATGGAACTATGTTAACATTTTGTTGGTATGGTTTCTCTGTCAAAGAGCCCTTTTCCCGTCTGAGTTTCTCAAACAGAGCAGCTGAAGATGAAAACACAGAAACTGTTCTTGAGAGTGTTCTCTGAAGATCAGAGTTCTTGGGTGATTCTGGAGTCACTGAGCAAGGCTGAGGACATACAGAAGATGGAACAAGAACAACAGAGAATATACGGTGAGCACCCACACGTGTTTCATGATCAGGGTGAACCATTGCTAAGAGCAGTTGATGAAATAGAGATTCAGGAAAAGCCTGCAGTGTATGACCATAGAATTTAATTTAAGATGTCAGCTGACTAAATAAGACAAGCAATACAAATGGTTGACAGACCTTATTCTGATATGTCAAATTTGGTATCGATGCAATTATCTGAGCTGTACGATACACAGCAGAGATAGTTGACCTAGCCATTGATACATTGGTCGATATATTTTCCAGCATGACAGACATCATATCAAGAACAGGCCCAGCATCTCCAATCTATTCAACAACCGAAAAAAACATATGTATGGTCATATGGACTTTATGTAGTATAGGAAAATTCACACAAAATCTTGCTATAATAGATTCTTATTCATAACATCTGACAACTCATACATGCAACATACCTTTTTAGATAACTGAATGATGCACTCATCTACAGCTGTTTGAAAATTATTGTTCCATTTGACAATGTCGTCACCCAAATTTTCACTACCAAGTGCACAGTGCATGGATTTTCGCAAATGTTTCACCAGGTCAGTTATTGCACCTATAATTGCTACTGATGCCTGAGCTTTTGACTGCTCAGCGAGACTAGCAGTAACTTCAACTATATTTAATTGAATGTCAGGCTGTTTTAGGACAGCCTTGTGCTCAAGATGCTTGACCAATATTGATATTAACAGATGTGTGTTTTGACCTGTAAAGTGAGAATCAAATTAACCCATTTATAGAAGACTGAAAAATATACCTATGGAAGAAAATATATTGACGTTTCTTAGTCTCTACAATGGTGGAAGCCTCATATACTGGACTATCTTTTTTATCTCAAAGAACAATACAAACAAAAACATATAGAAACAAAAAGCAGAAAAATCTTACCAGCCTTTTCCATCAATAACTGCATATCCAATAAGACATACCGAGCAAGACTATTTTCCACAGACCATGAACTATTGTTGTCAAAATATCGAAATAAAGACTCCAAAACACGTCGTACAGTAGTGGCTTCCTTGGCTAGCTTTGCCATGTTATGCACACAAACTCTGGACCAAAAGTTGGGGTTTTTTGTTTCATCCCTGTTAAGTGTATATAGGTATAAGTAATCAGATAAACAGAAAGCATATAAATGATGAAATGAATAGAGATTATGACTCAAACTCTTACGTAGTCAAATTAAGTTCCCCTCTATCATTTACTATGCTTTTCCAGGAAGGAACCCTTGTTATTACAAAGGGAGAAGGAGTTACATGACCCTCAGTCTTAAGGACTTCCTCTACCCACCGGCTCTGTGTGACCTGTTCACTTTGTTGGCCATCCTCTGATTTCTTTTTGGGGACCCCATAGTTCTCCAAGACAGCAGAAACAATCTATAGCAACAAAGGCAAAATTTTCAAATAACAAAATGAGGTTTTGTCATTTTCTAGTACATATTATATATAGCCAATTAGGTGACTTGCAGAAGAACTTGATGACTTGAGTGTTGACTACTTTCAAGTATTTAGTGATTCAAATTTGTCAACGAAATAAACTCATTAGTTAAGTTCAAGTCCGGATCCATGACATTTTCAAACAAAGATTAAAACCTATCAGTTAGGCTTTAGCCATTACTGACAGTTTCTACAAACAAACTTAGTTGAGCTTGTTTTGACACAAAATGCATCTTATTCTCAGCAAATGTGAGTTTAAAATCATCTCTGAATCCCATGTTTTGTTCAATTTATTCATTATAATTGCCATACGGATATATATTTAGAACTTTAAAATTCTAGTAGAAGAGCCTCAATTACATTTCTATAATCCTGATTTTTTTTTCATATTGTACACTACCATCATATTTCTAAATTTTTGATACCTTCATTAGGAAACAGAATAGTCACAAATTCAGAACATAGATATCTAACTAATAATAAAGGAAAAATCTTTTGAAAACTATAGGTCTTTGGAGTTTACTTTTACCTAAGGAAATCAAACTAAGTGATTAAGAGAATGAATATCTTAAGGATCAGTTCAGAACATATCTAGGAACAATCATAACCTTGATGCCCTCTTCGAAGAAATATTAAATCAACAGTAGATTAACTAATTTTTATATTTTCTTAAAATTTATATATGGTTTTCTTAGTTGGATTCTGAGTCAAATTTAAGCGAAACTGTGTCTATTGGTCCTACTTTTGGTATACTTAATTAAGAATTTTTTTAAATCTGTAAGAAACTTAAGATAGTTATTGATATTCCAAATTTTTGGAAATTTTATTATTTGGGAACTCTTGAAGGCTTGTGTAAAGGGTCTATTTTAGCTTCTCCTTTGATATAGAATCTAAAAAAACTGGTCTGAGAGCAACAATAAAACTCAAAAATAATATCCTTGACTTGTGACTGATGCATGATATTGTGTTGTGACACTAATAGCCATAAGGTGGCCCCTAGACACTGGAGTCTGGATGGTATATATATTCCCTTCCCTCAAGTCCTTTCAGTTACTTTCTTTCAAACTACAATCCATTTGTCAGTTTTTTGAATTTTTGGGCAGATTGAGAGAAATTAAGAGCTCCATACTTCTTACAATAATTTCCCAAGATAGAATGTTTTTCAATTTCCAAATAAATTGAATTGCAATCTGGAGATACTACATCCTTCTCTTTTTTTTGTTTTCCTTCAAAAAAATCCACAACTTTGATAATGTTTTAGTTGCACAAATTTACACCTAAACCTTGGCAACCAGACTGAAATTGATCAACCATAGGAGCATGAACCTCCTTTTCATCATTTTCTTGTTAATTACAATAACTATGACTGTGAACTGAGCCAAAGTGTAATCTAACTATAGCCTGACAAATGTTGTCTTACAAAATCGAAGCTTCCTAGTGGCCTATTTTCTGCAAGAACCCATAAGATCGATATATTTGAAAAATAAACTGGAAGTGGAGCTTCTGATTTTAGCTAATCTGTCACTATGGTACAGATCAGAAACTTGTGGACTCCTCTTGATAACTACTAATTGAAACTTTGCAATTTACACAAATGGTTAAGACATGAAAACATTTCATATGTGGATGCTTTCCCTCAAGAATTGTTCAATTAATACAAGTTTTCTACATGCATGACATTCCTACATTAAAACAAGGCACAACATGAAAAGTAAGTGGCAATAATTTTCAAAAAAGATGCATCATCCAATATCAAAGTGAATTACCTACCATAAGCGAATAGCTAGTGATGACTTCTCATATTCTTGTCTTACACATAGTAGTCCAGACCTGATTTGTGCTTTGCATTATACACTAGTTATAAGTAACATCATGGTAAATCTTAGATATTAATGACTCAAGGTTAAATTTGGAGGAGTTGCCCATAGAGAAGACATGGCAGGTTAAACCATGACATTTTTCTTGTACTGTTTAAGATGGATCTAAGAAGTTATAAAAGCATGTAGTATGTACAAATTTTATGTAATTAATCATTTGACAGGCATGTTCAAGAATCATGCTATTGTATTTACTACAGTTTATGACAGACTATGGCTTCATTTGTTTACAATGAGTCTATGAACAAATATCTTCCCACTTGTGTAGGCAACTTGAGTATTTCATGGGCTTTGTTTGAGACCCACCAATGACTGAAATTTAAGGTCAAATACCTCAGAATGCAGATATTATATACAGCTAAGTGGCACTTGAACATATTTTTTTTATAAAAATATCATTATTTTTCATTTAACCTATGGTTAAATGGTCTGCAAGATATGCAAGGTTTAAGTCTATAGGATGTAATGATAAACAGTTTAAACGAAAATAGAAAAATGTATAAAATATGCTTACACTGTCAAACTCTGAAGAGATATGAGAAAATTCGCCCATAAACCAAATCTACATGTGAAAACAAAGTGAAGGAACATAAGTACTCAGACATCAAACCTCAAAATTAGTCAACAAAATAAAAAAGAGCTGATAAAAGAAACAGAGATTAATATGTGAACACAAAATGCTCCCCATCTTTCTTTTACCCATTTCATAAACATTCTATCTATATTCATGATGGTGAATTCTAGCATAATGCACCTGATCTTTTCTACAAGTTAAAACCAAGCTTCCGGTCCTCTTGATCTGACTCAGAACCTGATACCATTTTGGTATCACCTATGTTCTTATCAGGTATGGTCAGATATTCCATGATGATGATCTTTGCCATCATCTTTGAATTTTTCTAGCTACATGACCACTATACATCATCCTCTAACCAATATGGGCTTTCTAGGCCTCCTCTTTTACAGATACATCTCTACATATGTAAGATGCCTCTGTTGCCATGTCTGATATGTTTGCCATCAGCATGTCTCATCCCAATCCATGATTAGCCAAGCTGAATTCACAGAACACAATAAATCCATCTATTGTTTTTTCCAGTGTGATGTGGTTTCTCCTAACTAATTTCATTCACCTTCACTAGTACCACCTGAACTCATGAACAGATGTTGAAGGTGACGTTTATCCTTGGATGATTAGCCATCTGCCATATCAGCTAGGCTTCCTGTTTGTGAAGTTGGAATTGCTTGTCTAATAGTTCTTAAATACCACCTATCCGACAGTTAGGTGACTGGGTCCAAATACATATACTACATTATTGTCAGTGTGATATTTGATTTAAATTTTGTGTGCCAATGTCATTCCAGTTGGAGGACCAGCACATGCCAACACAAGTGAGCTAGCAGGGGCAGCCAACCATTCTTGCTGCTATCTTCTCAAGTCTTAATTATCCTTTCACCATCACCACTGCTGTTTGAGAAAGAGCAAACGGGCATAGGCTAGTGCTTCAAACCCTTCGACAGGTTCAAAACCTTAAAAAGATGCAAAAGAAAGAAGGAAACAGAAAACAGTTTTCAGACCATTTCATTTATCAAAATGGTCAGATGCAAAAAAAGAGCTTTATTCCACTTTCCATAAGTTTTGTATCAGAATTCCCTTGTCCATGATACAGTCTAGTAGTAATGTATCAGTATATCATGGGTATGCACTGTATGTAGCATGTTTTAATTCATATAATAATATCAACCTTATGTTACAAAGTTATACGTCAACGCACTCCATGATTCTTGTTGAGTACATCCTACTGTATTTCCCTAGAATCAGCATATAATGTGACATTGTTATCAACTATTCACTTTCTTCAATTGCATGCCTTTTCCAAAAAGGATGGATTCCTTTCTCATTCCTTCTTTTAAGGTGTGGAAGAAAATTACATAGTTCACAGCCGACACTTCAAGGTTCAGCTTAAAACTAAATTACTTGATATTTTGATATAAGGTACAATTTGGTAACATGGTAAGTGGATGAGCAATGAGAATGGGAGTCCTTGTATCTTATTGTTGATGTTTGGACAAGGGTAATCCCATTCTCGTTCCAGATTAGTGAAAAATCTGATTACCCCTGAAAACCATCTGATTCCCAATGCCCCTTAGTGATTGATTATGATTCTCAAAGACATTATTATTTTACCCTACTTCTAACATACAATATTATATGCTTAAACTAATATAAAACTGAAATAGTATAATCACAAAAATATTTAATAAAAATATATAGATGCAATAAAACCTAAGAACTAGAAAAGTATAATATAATAAATATATAAAATAATATAATATCAACCATAGTTATGGATAGGACATTGACCTAGTCAAATCTCAAATCATTGGACCATTATCAACTTGTTGGACCATAGATTTAATCAAAATATATATGTTATTTTTTTAAAATAAAACATATGGATAGAATTATAAAAATATTTTTATAATATAGTGAAAAAAGGATGATCCTTATTAAAAAAATCTAAATGTCATACCTTTGATAAGAATTAAAGATTTGAATATATTTCATTCTTTTTATGGCTCAAATGGTTTTATTAGTGAATCGAACTGATTGAGGGTCCAAATACTGATTGTTCTGGTCCCACCATTGGATCTAGTTTAGGTTTTATAACTATTATATTATCAGTTATATATAGAAAATATAAATATAGAACATAAAAAATTAACTAATAAAATATTCAGCAATATAAGTATAAAAAATATAAATAGTAAATGATAATATATACAAATATAATATAAAGATAATAAAATAATATAAGTACTTAATAATATAAAAGATAGCATGTCAAATTATAGTAAAGAACAAATAAAAGAGAATAAGAGTACAACATAATAGCGATGTAAACTAATATTAAATAAAAAATAGAAAAGAAAAATTCATAAAAAAAATGCCAAAGCAGAATAACATATAATAGACAATATAAATGTATAAATAAAGATTAATGTTACTGACATGAGGATAATATAAAAAAATAAAATATTATAAAATAAAATAAAGATTAACATATAATAGAAAAATATAAAAGCTTGAATATGTGAAATGATTAATGTTAGTGGTATGAAGAGAGATAGAGAAAGATCTAAAAAAATTTTAATAGAAACTATAAATAAATATTTTAATATTCTAAGCTTAACTAAATGTATGATTTTTTTCATATCTCAATAACGGGAAAAGATCTATGTAGCTGACTCCAAATAGTTGGAACTTACGGTTTTGTTGTTGTTGTTGTTGTAATAAAACAATATAAAAGTATAATCGATAAGTGAGCAAGAAAATAAATTTTATAAGTTATTATGACCAAATTTAATCTCGATTCTGTCCAATTTTTTATAAACCAAATATACAAAAGGATATAAACATTCCAGTTTCAATCTTATAAGTGCATGAACCAAACATACCAAAGATTTAGTCATTCCAATTCTAATTCCCTTCCAATTTAGGCAACAAACCAAATAACACCTTAAGGAAGGTAATTGAAAAATTACATTGCAAAAATTTGATGAAATCAAGAATTCAGCACGTTATCAGTTTAAGGCATATATAAATTACTAAAGCAAAGATAATCAGACATATACCAAAGAAGATAAAGCTTGCAAGCCTGCTGCACGTAAAGAGCCTGCATTTTCATCCTCTCCCACTTCTTGAGCTAGACTGCACAATCGTGGAACCATGCTTTCTAAATTGAACTGGTATGTACCATCCACCTATAAGTGAAGGCAACATCATGATCTCAGTTCTTTTAAAAATAGGTAAATGTAGATTAAAAGAATACATAAACATAACTAAAGAAAATGAAAATGTGATTCCTGTCACCAAAGAAAATAACTTACCTGGCTATTAACAAAGTCAAAAAGTGTATAGCATCCTATAATTTGCATTTCATCATGTCTTGTTTGATCAAAAAGAGTGTGTATGATGCTCAGTAAGCTACTTGCAAACAGTGGCCTACAAAACATCGCCTTTAGCTTGTCAAAATATTTTCCATATGTACTTCAAGCTAATTATTAATGTCATTTAGTTTGTCAAAGTAAGAATTTCACTATTGCAGACACTAAAATGTGTCTAGGCAAACCCATAATTATAAAGCACAGCACTTTTCGTGTGCCCATCCCTGTGCTGGGTGTTACTAGTTTCCATTGGCTGGCAATGCAACCAATGGGAAATATCACAAGAACTTTTGGAGCTTCCCTTTCTATAGATTGGCTTAAGATAAATAGCAAATAGAAGAGAGGTAGTCAATAGTACTAGTAAGTAAATCTCACATTTGCTCCCTACAAGCAATCAATAATTTACGGTAAATACACATCACAACTTTAACAGAGCCAAAGCGTTCGTTTCTCATCTCCTTGTAACATCTCTGCTCCAAATAAGTTGTTATCTGTCAAGAAAGTCATGAATAAGTAAACAGGGTAACTAGAATAAACATGAATCATATACCAAATTCCACCAAATAACTACAGACAGCAACAGATGGAATAAGGAATTAAAATCACAAGCAGCTCAGATATAACTGTATTGCCTCATTCAGCCAGATCCATTATAGGAGGATCATGCACGTGATCATAAAAACTATAAGAAAATAAAACCTCCTGTAAGAATCTGAAAAGTGAAACCAGTCTTAAGTTCCATTAATTGCACTAGTTATTTATTGTTTTATACCATGAAAAATGAGCATGACTGTCTGTGAACACCAACATGAATGACTTTGCATCTCTTAGAACTCTTTGACCGTGAAGCCTAACTTAAATATGCTGCTTAAAGAAATTGATACACTTTTTTCTTCTGTCCATTCCATTGAAACTCTGGAAGTACCAGACTTTGGATTATCACTCATTGTTATTTATTGGTCCATACACTGATAAACATCAGAACTGAATAGAACACAATCATGCACTACGAACTTCAACGAAATAGTTGACCGATTTCAGAGTTTTTTTCATAACTTCATATGCAAATCGGGGTGGTGCACTGGCTGTTAATAGCTCTAATCTGATTTTAGGTTCTCTCTATATGCAGGAAGCAAAACCAAAATAATTTATAGTTAAAGTTAGAACTTAGAAGATCATAAGAATTAAATGATTGAGTGTTAAACAAAAGATCAGATGCATAATAGGGAAGAAAAACATAAGCCAGGAGGAAGAAAACACAAAACAGAGAAACTTAAATTCCACTAAATGAGTTTCTCATACCACTAGAAAAATAAAAATTATACTTCCTGATATATTAACACATGTATGAAAAGGATCGAGTAACAAATTCATAACAAAAAACAAAGAAGATGTACCTTCGGAATGCGAAGTGGATTTCTCGAAGCATATTCACATAACTTGCCAATTTTTCGATCATTTGGTTCTTCATCCTGCAAGCCAGTATATGTTCTTAGGGTTTCTGGATGCATTTGCTTAAATCCTCTCTAGAATAATTTAGCAGAAAAAATAAAGAAAGAAAGGTTTGATGTAATTAAATTTTCATGTATATAATTGCTCGGTCAAAATTGTATCTGAAAATTATTTTTGTAAAGCTTTCAGATATTGCATTATGATACTTTTTTTATATGACACAAGCATAATATCATGGCATATGTAGAATATATACATATAAAGGTGAAAGATCACACAAGAGTAGTCAACTAACGTGAAAAGAAGTCCACTTCTGTCACTACATGAGATATCTGTTGAGCACGTCTGTCAGTCAACTTAACATGCTTTATTGTATCCATCAGATGATTAATTGAAAAGGTACATGACTAGAAACAGGTGTCTTGTGAAGACATAAAGTGATTTTAAGATGTGGATTTTATATGGACTAGGCGGACACCTTGAAACAAGCAGTTTAATTGCCTATTACAGTTATTAAAAGTCAAAGAGGAAGAAGAATGAAAAGAAAGAACATGATATATTAGAATATTTCTGAAACATCATCATGCCCCCATGAACAAAATACAACCTATTTAATTCTAGAAACCAAAGAAAAGAACAGGTAGCAATTTAAATCTGAGAGAGTTTTTATTTATACAAAATGTCACAAAAAACCCCAGTAACTAATGTATATGCGATATTAATTCTTAAATATATGGAGAAAGCACTGAAGCATCAGACACTCCTAAAAACAAGGTTCCAAACATTGGCCGGTAGGGTGCATATCAACATTTAGCGGTCAGACAAAGACCGGAATTGGACCATGTAGTTCGATAGTGAGAGGGCATTTTATTTTTATTTTTATTACTACTACTACTACACAGAAAGTATGATGTGGTTAGTCTGTAATATTCAAACTTAGCCAATCCAGATCATAGTAGCTGAGTTGATCGAGATCAACTCAGACAGAATTTGATTTATCCTGAGACATCAGGTATCTAGTGTCTGTTGGATGATTTCCAAATCAAGACCTTGCCATTTCAATCAGTGGTTAAAAGAAGAGAATGAGGAAAGAGGAGAGAAACAGAGAACAGGGAGGGGGTCTAGGGAAAATTGGGGAGAAGGAGATATGAGAGAAGAAAGGTTGAAACAATAAGGAGGGAGAGGATGGCTTGCTTAATTTAAGCTTAATTATAATATGATAATTGCACGTGGTTGCTTTTCCCTTGAAATTTCATTGGACTAATACAGAACTCTTTCTTCTGCTGCATAATGTATTCTAGAAACACTTGAGAAAGTAAGTAATGTCAATGTTTCATAGAACAGTAAATATCAAAACGGACAAATATGTTGCAGCAGCGGTACCAGCTTTCCAGGATCAAAAACATAACTCAACTATTAAACAAAAAAATATCCAAGAGTGATACTTCCCAGGATCAGATTTCAAAATTCCAAATTAAAAAAAAAATGCAAATACTACAAATATAACCTGAGCACGAGGAAAAATGTCAGCTAACAGCTTCTTGTACCGCTTTACTGGTTGCCTAGATCTTTCTCTCAATGAAGGGCAGAGAAAGCACAGCGCCCCGCATGCAGGCACAACCTTCCTTGACATAACCCCCATCTTGTGTCCTATAAGCAAGAGAGCATTCTTTTAAAGATAGATAAATGTCAAGTTCGTTCTTCTGTTAAGCTCATACTTTCTATCCATCTCAAATCATAAGTTCTGATTTTTCAACTCGACGGTATTGTTCAACCACATTACTTACCTACAAGTCAAATCCAGATTTTGACCAACACAACGAAAATGAAGAAAGATCATCATTAAATGACCAATGCATGCATTTCTCGTCGGTAACCAGGAGATCCCAGTGGAGCCAATAAAAAAAAAAGGATAACGATAATGCAGCAAGCAAATATGGAATTTGTTTACTCGATCTAAAAGAACTATCCTGTATAAGCAAGAAAATTGCAAACAGCAAGCGGATTCAGTTTTTTTCCTTTTTTTCTTCGCGGTCTAGAAGGATCATTCTATATAAGCAAAAATTTCATAATTTCCTACGGAGGAGGAGCATATCGGAACTATACCCAGAAAGGTGAGAGAGATCAGGGGTAATCAACAGAGTATTGACCGGGTTGGGAGGGGAAAGACGGAGGGAGATAGCGGAAACCCTGGCAAGGATCTGATCAGTAAGGCGCCGGATCTCCGTTTCCTCTTCCGATTGCTCGAAAGACGAAAAAGACGAATCCTCTCTCGCCTTCCCTCTTTATCTCGGTCTCGTTCTATCGTCGCATTCCTTCTCGTCTCGGTCTCTCCTCTTCTCGCGAAGAACGCTTGCACCCAGTAATAATAAAGACAACAATGAGATAAAGCCGGGGACTCCGTCCGCAACCAACGCTCCTGCAGTGGCAACCCAACCTGTCCGGCCGCCTTCCGTGGGCCCGACTTCTCCACACGAATTATTATTATTATTATTATTATTATTATTATTATTATTATTATTATTATTATTATTATTATTATTATTATTCATGAGTTGATGTACCTATGGAGATCCATAGGTGAGGATGGGAAATAAAAGAGGATGAGGAAGTAAGGATGGATGAATATAGCACACTCCCCATCTCTATATAATATAATTTTATTAATAATAATATAGATAAACTTAAAGGATGAGTATATTTGATTTTGTTTATATTTGGATATATTTATATTAGAATATTTTTATGATGTATAAATTTTATAAAATATTATTATTATTTATAAATTTTGATATTGTTAATTAGTTTTGATAATAGTTTTATTTTTAGATAATTTATCAAAAAAAACCACTAATATTTGACTTTTTTTAATTATTATCGAGCGATGCTTTTTTTAATTAAAATTTTAATTATGTATTTGAACAATTTATTTCAAGTCATAAATCATAAGTTGATTCAGTCCAATCAAGATGTTTTGGTCCGGGTTAGGTCGATTTGGGTTGGGTCACTTCGAATCGGATCGGATTGGGTTTCATTAGCAATAGGTCAAGTCAGATTTGCTCGAGCAGAAATCAAAGGTTTTGCAAGGTTTTATCAACAAACGAGACTAATTATCACTACAATAAGGAGGATGTTGGCGATAATGATTAGCAGGGACGTCGGCTACTATGAGGCTAGGGCTCTACAACGCACTGTTAAAGTTAGGACAATGCATATTGATCATTAAGGGTTCACAAGGTTTCGTCAATAAACGAGGTTGATCATCGTTCGAAGAAGAAGGACATTAGTGATTACGACAAGAGGGGACATTAGCGATGGTGAGGCTATGGCTTTGTAATGTACCATTGAGGTTAGGGATACATATAATGATTAGTGAGGCTCCATAAAACTTCATTGAGAAACGAGGTTTATCACCACTATAAGAAGGATGATGTTGGTGACGACGAGACTAGGGCTCTACAATGCACCATTAAGGGTCGAGTGACACATGCTGATAACTAAGGCTTCCTAAGGCTTCATTGATGAACGAAGCTGATAATCACTACAGAAAGGAGGATATTGGTGATGACAACGAGCGAAAACTTTCCTAGTACATGATAATTTAGAAGAAATCAAGGGATAATCTAGAGTTCAATTGAATCAAATTAGGTAGCTAAGATTCAGTTGAATCGATCTAATTTGATCCATTTAAGAAAACTATTTTAGCTCTAAAAAATCGAGTTAAAGGATAATCATTATCATTTTATTATTTCAATTATAGTTTAATCAAAGTTTAGAAAATGGATGCTCACGTTAAAAACCAATTATCCTAGTACTAAGAGATTTTTTCTAGTAAAATACCCTTTATTTTTTAAAAAATAAGTAGATTAATAAGGAAAATATGAGAACTTCTTCGCCTAAGTGGGGATTCTGTGTCCCACTCGTATCTCGTCTAAATAGGAGTAAGGCGAGAATAGAAGATGAGGGATGAGACGTAGACGAAAATGAGAGAAGCACTACTTATCTTCTCATTAATAAGTTGTCTAAATAGGAGTAAGGTGAGAATGAAAGATGAGGGATGAAACGCAAACGAGAATGAGAGAAGCACTACTTATCTTCTCATTAACATCCCTATTGATAGTCAACTATCTATTTTTTTTCTTTTTTTTAATAAATTGGTCTATAGGATGAACATTTGGTTTTGTACCATTTGATAAAAATATTAAATATAGTACTTTTATGCTGTGTTAAAGTATTTCTAAGAAAAACATTATAATACAATGCAAAAATAGAAACACATTATTTTTGTACTGTATCACATTATTTCCTAGTATTATTGAAAAAAAATGTGACTATACTAATTCACTCATTCATAAAAAGAAAAAAAAAGATAAATGAGAAGTACCGTTAAAAAATTGGGAAGCTCTTCTATGATAATCACAAAAAGAACAAAAATAATATTATTATCATCATAATTAATCAATATAAATTATAATAAAATAGGAAAAGTGACCTATTTCGAAATAACTCCATCATGCCATAAAAAAGACAAAAAAAGAAAATCATATTTTATGCATTATGCTTTATATAAAGAGCATGATGTTGCTTGTCACTAAAACAAAGTATTATTCCTTAATAGTAAACTTTATCAAATCAAAAATACAATGCATAAGGCTTGCTCGACATTAACTCAAATTTCATATCATCTGATCTGTTTAGATAAGATTAATTTAACGCGGAGTCAACCGAAGACTATGTGATTGGGTTCGGGTCGAACCGGTTTTCCATACCCGCATCCGACTAATCGGGCTTGCGGGTCTGCTCGGCATGAGCGGAGCGGGCCTGGGCTTCTCACGCACGTGATCAGCACGTGGTTCTGGACACGCCTCTTTGCTTGCGAAAGGGGTTTCATTCCTCGTATATTACCTTCCCTCCTCGGCTCGGTCTCGATCCAAAAGCTTTTCTTCCTAGCCGCGATGGATCTCGACCTTAGCGCGCCCCACTCGTTGGGAACCACCATCATCGGAGTGACCTACGACGGCGGTGTCGTCCTCGGAGCCGATTCGAGGACGAGCACAGGTCCGATCGAACCCCGGAAAAAGCTCGGAGAGATCTTTGTTTTCTAAATCATGTTCGTTTTCCCTTGTGGGGTTTTGGCTGATGAGTTTGGATCTCTCGTTACAGGAATGTATGTCGCTAATCGGGCGTCGGATAAGATCACACAGTTGACGGACAATGTCTACATATGCCGCTCTGGATCGGTAACGATCTCTTTCGATGCTCGTTCGTGTGCTATGTTGATATGTTTCTTAAGAGCATGAGGTGTTGAACATCCTAGTTCATAGAAGTGTGTGTTTGAAAAATACAGAAGATATAAGGAATCCTTTCTCCATTTCTGGCTATGTTCTTTCAACTTATAGTTGGTGTGCTCTGGCAATTTGTTTTGACTTGTTTTGTTGAATTAAATGATTCAAATTATCTTTAAACCATTTTAAAACAATCAAAGACTAGATTAGCATTGGCCGAGGGACCTAACAGTGTGCATCAGTAGATCACGACCAGGAATGGTCAGACTTTATGTATAAGGGGTTTGCATCAGATGTATCCCCTGCTTTTCTTCTGCTTCCAAGATAACTTGCTGTTCATGTAAGAGTAGCCAACTATAAGAAATAAACCCCAGTTTAAAATTGAAGATCCATGATTTATACCCTCGTTTACTTGTTTGTCAAAATATAGACTTGAAACTATGTATTTATTTAGAAAAAGGAAAACTTGTTATAACCCTAAGCTACATGAGAGTTTCTGTAACTGAGGAAACTTGATTAGAGTCATCCTAGACTGGAACTGAGGAAACCTTAAGGCTACTCTAACCCTAAGCTACATGAGAGTTTCTGTTGTTCTGTTATAATTACAGTAGATGTTTTTGTTACATTCACTACTTTTGATTTGATGTTTACTGTTTTCCCCTTATTTTAGCGTTGGTAACTATTGATCAATTAGTTTCTCAATTAAATACTTAATTTTGTTTTCATTTCTCAACTTTTATAGTGAGTTAACCAAGCTTCTATAAACTATGGTTTCCTTGCAGGCAGCTGATTCCCAGGTTATCTCTGACTATGTCAGATACTTTCTTCATCAACACACGTGAGTTTATTTACTCTCTTTCTTCTTTCTCTCTCTGGATTAGAAAATATAAAACTCTATTTGGAAGTCTATGAGATGGTTCCTTAATTGAACTGTGACTTTAATCTGTATTAATTCTGTGTATTTGTTGACGGGTACCATGGAAGTGCCAATAGAAAAACTTAAAATCATATAAAATTTAGCTGATTATTTCGGAGTCATTCTTATGCTGCTGACCTTCACTTACCGGTCTCTCATACGTGTTGCAGAATTCAGCTTGGACAGCCTTCAACGGTCAAGGTGGCAGCTAATTTAGTTAGATTGCTGTCATACCAAAACAAGGTATCAACATAACTGTTCTGTGGCAAAACAATTTTCAGAGTTAAGACTACTCTGAATATAGAGAAATTGTAGGATTATTGGATGTGAGTAGTCTTTTGTCATAAGCCATGACATAAATTAATAGGTTTATCACTCAAGTCAAATACCTGAGTTCATTTTCTTGTTTGTGACTGTTACTAACTGGAAAACCAACAAAATCAAATCAGATTGTGTCTTTTTCCTTGCAATTTTGAACCACTCCATATGTTTCTCTCAATTTATGATACTGAATTTTGGGATCTAGACTAATTCTTGCTTTAATTCATGTCACATCTAATCATTCAAAAATATTTGAATAGGAAGTTGAACTGATTCTTTTGTAAGAAGTGGCATTTATTTTCTTTTATTGTTATTATTATTTTTCTTCAACATTTTGCTATTTTTGCTTGTTTAGAATTAGTGTATACATATGATCGTTTGTGTCATTGGCATCTCCAGAACATGCTACAAATGGGCATCATTGTTGGTGGATGGGACAAATACGAAGGAGGTCAAATATATTCCGTGCCACTTGGAGGGACAATACTGAAGCAACCTTTTGCTATCGGAGGTGTGTATTGTGCTTCAGCTTAGTGTTCTACATGGTTGACATGAATGTTTATTCTGTTTATTTACTTGTATAGATCACATATAATAATGCATGCTGCAAACCAGGGCTTGGTTTGGAAAATCCATAAGCATTTGTAGCTTAATAAGCAGAAGTGTGTTTAATTTTTCTTTCAGAAATACTGAAATCGGTCCCTTATATATGCTCATTAGGAAATAGAAAGAATTGTTTCTCTTTGTAAAATAATTACCTTTTCAACATTTTCAGCCAAAACTCAGGCACATTTAACCTTCTGCAAGGTAAGGTCAAACTTTCTCCACTATTTTCTATGTTAACTTGACCAACCTATACTGTAGAAAATGTTAAATAATTGTTTCATCTTTCATCTTGTGTAACTTGGCACAAAGAACTAACTGCATGATAGTTAGGAATTTTAGAATTTTCAATGAGACAAGGACACTTTGCAAATTGACCTTCAATATGAGAGCATGTTTTTTCCACGTTTGGCAGTGGTGATCTTGGATTTCATAACCTTCTATCACTAACATCTTTCTGCAGCAATATTAGAAGAAAATAATCTGGAAATCTAGTCCTATGTTTACTAAATATATATTTCTATATAAACAGATGTAGTGGTGACTGAGACGTTTGATTTAGGAGTATTGCTGAAGAATTTATGATTAGTACAATGATTGCAGCAAAGCAGTGGGATGAGAAATCCATGTTTGGTAGGAATTGGCAATCTATAATTGTCATTTGTGTTGAGAATCTGTCTTTTCTCATTTTAGAGAAGTAAATGATATGAACTAACATCAGTATTATGAAATAGAATGTCAAAGCACATTATTTCATAAAGTTTTCTTGTGCTTTTTGAGTGGTTTTAGTCTTTAGATATTGCATAATGATGCTTTGTTCTTGTTTGAGATGATTAGCATATTATGACTCATTGGAAATAACTATCTTCCATCCACAGGATCTGGTTCGAGCTACCTTTATGGTTTCTTTGATCAAGCATGGAAGGAAGGGATGAGCAAAGATGAAGCTGAGGTATGCAATGTGAAGCTATTAGCTTTTGACCGATTCTTTTTTGGTCAAATTGTTTTGGATAAGGATGTAATTACTAGAAATTTTAGAAGTTAATGACAAGTCCATAACACACTCTTTAAGTGAAAAATATTACACAATCCTTTTGTTTTTTATCTTTCACTCTACCATATTCTTTGAGACACTTTGCTATTGTTCTCTCATTTCTCTCTTGAGGCGAGTTCTAAAGCAAAATCTCTGTTGTATGCAGTGAGTCAGATCATTTATTTATTCTGTTTTAGAGTGTTTGGCTCTGCTATGAAATGGAACATTGAAAGAGTAAGATTATTAACTAACTAGCTTAAAGGTCTTAACTCTACCTAAACTAGACCTTGCTCTTCTTTTTGTTAGAATGAAATGAACTACTAAGTGATGCTGATTTAAGCTTATAGTTTTCTCACTTTTAAGTAATTTACTAGTTATCAGACAAGCAAACGTAATCTGTGATTGCAACTTTTTCTGGCATCCTTGCTCCGGTTGCTGTTTGAACAGGTGTTCATTGTTTTTATTTTTCCCGTTCTTTTTTGCGAATTCTATGCTGATTTTCTTATAATGTAAATCACTAAAGTCTCAATATTTATTCTTTTGCTTGTCAGTTGTACTGTAGTATTATTTTTGGTTGTTGTAAGTTGTAACTATCATGAGTAGGAAATTATCTGAGACATTGTGCTTCTATCTCCCTTCAAAAATGCAGAAATTAGTGGTGAAGGCAGTCTCTCTTGCTATTGCACGTGATGGGGCGAGCGGAGGTGTCGTCCGTACTGTTACTGTAAGTATCTTGGCTTAGAACACGGTATAAACGTATAATCTACACAACATGAATCACTGATAACGATTTTGCCATCGTATTGATCAACTGTCCTGCTAGTACCCGACGTATGTAATTGATCATTACACTTTCCTGGTGGAAAATGTCAATTCCAGAAATGTATTAAGGAAATCGACTGACTAATAGTTTAATATCAGCCTCCACGTAGGTTATATTTCTGATAGTTATTTTGCTGATGGGCTGGCAGATCAATGCTGATGGTGTCACGAAGAACTTCTACTCCGGCGACTCCCTTCCTCTATGGCATGAAGAGCTGGAGCCACACAACTCGCTGCTGGATATCCTCTCGTCCAGCAGTCCCGAGCCTATGAGCACATGATGTCCTGGTCTCTGTGCCACTCTCATTCCCTGCTTTAATGCTGTGTAGATGCCATGGAAGCCATTGTGCCTCTGCAAATTGGTTCTAAAAATTTATATTGGCCTGGAGCTGCCACTGTTTTATTTTGACCTTAGCAGCTTTGAGATACATCAGTGATCAAACTTTACTAGTATAAGAATGTTGTTTTCTCTGCTTGCCGTGCCTCTTTACGTTCATCTCAAGCCAACACTAATGCATGCATCTGTTTACAGTGTGTTTATGGGATCAAGCAGCTTTGAAGCCCAATATCATCAATTTTCGTTCAAATTTGATCGGTCAAGCTGCTAAATCCGATGCACAACATGTTTATCATTCATTCTAGACATGAGATGAGCATATTTTACATTATAGTTGAGCTTCGTCATTAACCCATCATTGGGTCTATCTGCACTCTCATTCAAAAAAAAAAGAGAGTGTAATTTAGATTTTAATTTTTGAAAAATTATCGAAATTTATGAAAATTTTCAGGAACATTTGAGTCATGTCTTTTAAAGAAATTTGGCTTAGTATTATCCCAATATCAAAAACCATAGTCAAAGAACACTATGCAATTACTTAAACATAGTTATGTTCCTTATGATGAACACTAATCTCAATATATCAGCTGAACTCATTGGCAGATTTCTTGGTCAGAATCTAAAACATGTATTGAGCACTTGTGTTGGTTTGATGATATTTATTTTGCGATGCCAAAAATCATCTTATAATTAGAACATGTAAGAAGAATACTAAGTTTCATTGGTAATCTTCTAATGAAGAATCTAAATATGTATATAACACTTGCTCTTTTGGATGCTATATGCATGTAAACAAACCCCTCGATGAACCAAAAACCGACTGAGCTCCATGTGATGTAACGGAGCATGAAGCTATGTAGGAGATGCGAGGAGGAGGTCGTCCCCGAAGAGGTAGAGAAGGCGCTCCACGGCCCAGCTGGGCTCCGATGCCGGCGGGGGAGGAGGAGGAGAAGCGGATGGCCGCGTGGCGAGCAGCGGCGCGCGGCAGAGCGGGCAACTGAGGTGCTCGTCGTGGTCGAGCCACCGGTCCAAGCAGCCATGGTGGAACACGTGCCTGCAGTTCCGCAGCTCCCACACGCTGTCCTGCCTCCCCACCTCGCTCAGGCACACCGCGCACGTCGTTGCTGCTGCTGCTGCTGCTGCGTCGGCCGTGGCCGACTCTTCCTGCTCTCCTACCAGCTCGGCGTAGGTCGAGACGTGGAGGCTCTCCCTCACCGCCCGGGCCGCGGCGCAGTGACGAGCTTTGGCCTCGGCGACGGTGCTGTCTTCCAAAGAGGAGGAAATAGCAGCAGCAGGCCACCAGCCGTAGGAGGGAAGGAGCAGCCACTTGACCATGAGACACAAGAAGAGAGCGGTCTCTTCAACGAATTGAACCAGCACAAGTCTCAAGTCGCAGTACTCTATGGTTCTGCGCATAGCACTGAATGTTGTCAATGGCAGAGAAAGAAGACGAACAAAGAACAAGCGAAGACACTGATGGAGGTGTTATGTGGAGGATGAGGAGGAGAGTTCAAGGGGAAGAAAGCCGAGATAGGATGGCCTTTAATAAGGGGAATTGGATGATGGTGGAAGTTGGTGGGCTGGCCTAAGCTTTTCTGTCTTTTTTTTATTTCCTTTCTGGCTTTGCTTTTGAAAAGAGGAAAAGGAGAGAGAGAGAGAGAGAGAGAGAGAGAGAGAGAGAGTTATATGGGACATTAGATTTCTCCATGCAAACATGCCAACCAGCAGTATGTGAGTGGGAGATGATGAGGGCAAGATGGTGGTGGCAAAAAGATCTCAGAAAAGTTTCTTTGATGCCATCACTGATTCATAATGAGGCAGCATAATTTTGTGGCAAGCTGTTGTTGATGTACTGCAATCCCACCTGAGGAGCAATGATCTAAAACTTATAAATCATGTTAAGTGATGCTCAAAATGTGAAAATAATATAGTAAAACAATGCAAACTCATATATCAATATAATCATCTTCCACTTGGAATTAATGTGACTTGCAGTACCATGAAATGTTCATGATATGAGGCAGTTTGACCTAATTGAAGCTTGACTTATGTTGAAGATGACAGATACACTTCAAGTTTTGACTAGCAAACTACTGAGTGAACAAAGAAGAAGGAAAAGAGAGAGATTAGACTGATGGTTGCCATGAGCAGTGTCAGATCTCCACTGTCAAGGATATTATTAGCTTATTAAGTTCATGGAACACACAACATATAGAGGTGTAACATCTGTAGGTTCTCCACCACCCTCTCTCTCTCTCTCTA